CCATCCTGAAGGACGGTACCTCTATAAGTTTGTTCAGCCTTCTCAGATTGAGAATAGGCCTGAACCCTCCGTCTTTTTTGGTGACTAGGAAATATGTCGAGTAGAAGCCCTCGCTTTCCTGTCCCACGGGAACCGGTTCGATCGCAGCCTTCATAAGAAGTGCGTCGACCTCGGCACGGAGGAATTCCGCCCTCTCCAGGGTAGCAGGCACCGGAGTGTGCTTTATCCCGGAGAAGGGGGGCGGATGATGTTTCCACCGAGGCAAATGGCCATCCCTTAGAGTGGACAGGGTCCAGGGATTGGATGTGACTGTCTCCCATTCCTGCAGGAATAGAGCCAGTCGGCCGCCTACGGGGACATCCGGCTTGAGGCAGCGGACCCCGGCTGTCGGCAGTTCGAAAACATGCGACCGTGGGTCCGCCCGGGGCGCTTCGGGCGCTAATGGGAACCCGATGGGTTCCCGGCCCTGCGAAAAGGCTGCTGGCCTCGACCAGCTGCCCTGCCCCGGCCCCTGCCTCTCTTGCTCCTCCCGGCGCCCTTACCTGAAGGAAGCGGCTGCTTCCAAGCAGGTGCAGACTTCTGACCCGGCGCGTCAGCGTAGGAGGAAGCAAGTGGAGAGGTCCGCTTACGCGGTTTAACGCATGGTACCTCCAACAAGGCCTTAGAATCCTTGATGGAGGCATACAACTGTGCGGCCTCTCGGACCACCTGCTGAGCCCCAGGGAAAGCAAAGGCAAAGCAAGTAGATCCTGGCGTGTGGAAGCCGAGTATTTGGATACCGACATCCACAGCCTGCGCATGCCCATGACTGCGCACATCATCTGCGAGGCACAGCTACGAATAGCGTCCCTCGCAAGATGACTATGTACCTCCGTAAGTTGCGCGGCCAACTCCGAAGAGTCGGCCGGCCCCTCTCCCGCTAACTCCCTCTGTACGGCCGACAGATAAGCGGAGTGTACGGACACCCGGAGCTGCTGACATGCGTTACGATATTGCTCCTCGAAGCAAACGTAAGCAGCCTTCAGCTCCGTACCGCACGCGGGAAAGGGTGGCAACCGCCGGCCCTGCTTGACCTTAGCCAAGTTGGGGGTCGAAGACCCCCCCAGGGTAACGGAGGTCCAGACGCATTCGTCCACCACCGGTACCTCAAAATCACCATCCTCTGCTAACGGGTACCGCTTAATAAGTTCGGGCAGGTCGAACTTCCTGCGGGCACCCGACAACAGAGGGTTGATGACTTCATGCACCAATGAAGACAGAATACGGAGCCGCACCTGGGGTGCCTTGCTTGGAGCAAAAGCGTCCCCCGGAAGGCGGAACTCAGTCGGATCCGACTGGGGCATGGGCGCAGCCACCTGAGGCAGTACCTGGACAATCTTGTCCCGTACATGCCTCAACGAGGAAACGAAGGAAAATATTCCCGAGGTCTCCGAGTCGTCTCCCCCCTCCTCCATCCACTCCTCCTCTCTCGATTCCGAGCCGAAATTAATCGACTCTTCCCCGAGAGAAGAGGCAGACGAAGTCGGAAGGGGACGCCCGAAGGCCTGGGCCTTCGCATCCCCGGGCTGCACCCGGCCCGAAGCCGAGTCCCGGTCCCGAGGTGCCGGGGGTTCAAGGGAACCCACCTGGCTCTGGGCTAGAAATCCGCTAGAGGAAGCCTCGGCCTCGGAAGAGGCGTCTGGCTCCGCTAGGGAGAACTGTGCGTCGGTAGTGAACGGGCCAGTGCCCGCCACCCCTCCGCTGGGGAGCGACCTCGAGCCGGCGCCGAAGCCCGGTCTGAGTTCGTCCCTGAGACCAAGTGGCCTGCCTCGGCCGACGCCGGGCATATCACAAGGTCTCGAAGCCGCGTCCGGCGCCGACAACGGGGAAGGCTCGGTCCGCAACTCCTCCATCATCGACGCCATCTGCGACCTCAACAAGGCAGAGATGTCTGCCAAAGACGGTGCAGGAGAGGGTGCAGTGATTGTGACGGGGACCCTAGAGCCTTCTCCCCCGGCCCCCGGGGAGGGAGCGGAGGAGACAGTCTCAGCTGCCTTTTTACCCTTTCTTACTTTTTTTGAGGGGGGCGGGGCGGTCTTTGCCGATCTAATGTCCACCCCCGCCTTCAATAGACCCTTAAAGTGTAAGAGGTCCACATTTCTCTTTTTCTGCGCCCGTGGTGTGAATGCAACACAGATCGGGCATGACCCATCGTCATGCCCGTCTTCGGCCAAACACTTTATGCAAGTATCATGCCTGTCTTGGGGGGGAATCGAAGCCGAGCACCCCGTACACAGTTTGAAGGTCTGTAAAAAAGACCGTAATTTTTGAGTTTGGCGGGAAGGGTAATAAAGTGTATCAGTGCGATTGAAAGATCGGAAAGATACGTGCATAAATTGTGTAACTAGAAGCAAAGGCGTAATTTAGAATGCGATTGGTAACGCGATACTAATAGCCAATGTCGTAGTATAATTATAACACCAAAGTGGGCGTGTTACGCGCGAAGGTGTAGAAAACCCGTAAAAAAGGTAAGTGTAATTTAAAATAATTAACACACCACCTTGGGTTTATTTAAAGGAAAAGATTGTAGGCTAAAGCCCGATGATATAGATTAAAAAACCGAAGCCGTTTTTGATGGCCCTGGTGTTACATATATCATACGTGGCACTACAAAATGGACGCTACGACGGCCTTCATTTCAAAGGTATCGTACACGTGTCACATAATTACAACTTTATAACTTTACAATGCGAGGTATTACGCCTTTGCATGAAAGAAATGTACCATACATACAGTTTGGTCTGCCATGGTTCTTGTACGAACGATTATCTTGTCTTTATTTTGTCTTGAAAAAAACAGCACGTCTGTCTTTGTCAGATGACATAAGGAAAGTGATTTGGGTGAGAGTTGCTTCCCTTGGCGTGACGCGCCGTGGAGGGTGAGGCACCATAAGGGTGGACGTATATCATACAAAAACAAAGTTTTTTGTGTGGTAACAATTTTTATTAAGGAAAATGGTTACAACTATGTCATGTAGATTTTCTTGAGCCAGGAAAATGCAATAAGTGCCCCAAGGAGGATTTAATCTGAAAGAGAAAACTGAATGTGTAATCCAATTGATAATTTCACCTTGTGTAGCCAACAAAAGTGTACTTGATTTGATTATCTTTATGCTTATATAATGTTACATACTTGATATTTTGACATGATTTACTAGGGCTGGGATGACACACCAACTGTGAGATGTGATGTGTATCACAATACTTGCATGAGCTCTTATCTGTGGTGTGTAAGCCATCTTTTACATAGACAGGATGGCAAAATACCTGGCACACTAATGATTTACAGTTGGCAGTGCCCAGTATGGTGCAATGGATGAAAATCTTTACATTTTCACTAGAAATTATAGTTTTGTGTAACATTTATAAAAGAATATATTTAAGGTAAGAATCAAAACTTTTTACTTATGTGTGCGATTGTGATCGATACGTATATTGTGAAGTAAAATATCGCGATCGACTGATGTTGTCATGGTTATAGTCTTTGTGTCACATTTGCGCTACCTCTTACTCAAGAGGAGAGTTGAGTGCATGAATTATAATGATGTAATTTGCAAGCTGGCATATTTGTGTCATCTGCTACAGTAGCTGTAGTAATTAAGGCACCAGGGGATGGAGCATTTTACTGGCAGCTTTTGCACATTCCAGTTAGTGCTCACTGTGACGGACCTGCAGTGTTTAGCCAATTAACAAACCTCTGATACTTCCACACGTTTGCAACCTAAAGCCACCCACAATAAACACAATCAACATAATTTGTGTATAGGTGACGTCAGTCTTTCCATGCATATTCCTGGAAATCATTGTTCAGGTACAGCATGTTCAAGCAATCATATTTCCATGTACCCCTCCCCTGACATGTTATGACTCATATGAGCCAAAGGGAAAGTCTTTTTATATTCAAGATACATGTGTGAAAATGCTGCACCTAATAATCAGATCACTCCCAGAGAAAAATTCTGTAAATACTCTAACCCAAACCATCCATATCCCTAAGGACAGAAAAGATAGCTTTGACAGCAAAGATGGCCCAAGGACTAAAGATTGCCAAGAAGGTTTTGACAATCAAGATACAGCAGGTGACTGGTCAGTGAAGCATGAGCCAGAGTCAGAGTGCCAGCAGATAGGCTTGGGCTCAACTTACATCTTGCCAGGCAAAATATTGCTCAGGGTAAATATGAAATGAATCAGTAAGACTACAGTTTACATCTCCGTCTGTGGCTCTCACTACCTGGATCACAGATACCTCTTTGATCCCTAGGGTTGGTTATGTTACCCTAAGGGTGGTAACCCAATTACTTAAGACCTAGGATCCCCTTTCTGATCCTTAGAGGTAGTTATGAGCAATGGTTAAAGATAATTAGCCTCAAATCAATCATATGTAATCCAAATTAACTTTACAATATGTACATGGTTTGAGTTTCAGGGAATTAAAAAAGTGTTTTTCATGCATATGCATCAATGTTAAAAATTGGATGCTGATATAATTAGGAAAATGAGGAGTTGTGCACTTTACTGGGTTATTTTTTTTAATTTCATGTGGTACGTCTAAAGTTTAAAGTTTAATATTTAAAGTTGTCTAGATTAGCTAACTTCAAGAAATGTCATGTTTCCTACGCAATTATTCCTCTATGAATTCATGTGACGCTGAGCGGGATCAGAAAAGTGCGCCCGGTAAAGTGGAGCATCTCCCTTCCAATGACACGTTTGTTACCGTTTGTTGTGTTTGATGAGGAACATGACATGTCAATTATTTATATATGGACGGACATTGACAACACATTATATACCGGCTACCACTTATAAGACATACGTGACTCAATGTGGTGCAACACTGTTACGGATTGGCTGTTACAACAGAGAATCAGATTGATTATCCACATAGTAAGTCAATAAATATGTTTAAGATACAGCCATACATCCATCTAAAACATCAATTAGCATCAAACACAATCAACATACACGGAGTGGCGCGTTCCGAATAAACGCTCCCGTGTCAGCAACAACGTGCTTCACTTTCCTGGAGGTCGCCATGTTTAAGTCACGTGATTTGATTTGACAGATTTTCTTGTGTCTTGTTTATATTTGAATTCGTGTCCCATATCAACACCAAACTCACAATTGATATATGAAAATGTATTCTTTTCCTTATTTCTGTTTTTTTCTTAAAATCTTGAAAAATCTCGTTACTTCGGGATAAGGTGCTTGTGACGTAAGTGGTCACATGATCAGTGATGGTGGTCAACAGGAGTATTATTGAGAAAGTGTACGACGAGAAATTTTACCGTAATATTCCGTGTGTTTAAGAGGTATGTCAATTTAGATACGGTATAGATCTAGTCTAAGTATTCAAGAACATGAATACATATATGGCGATAAGAGATGTTGAAATAAATTCATACTGATCGTCAATTTTGTGCGAAATATTTTCGTGCAATCTCTGTCTTCCTAGTAGCTCCTATCAGTCACGCACATTTGACAGGTATATTAAAGACACTTCATCAGTGTATGTGTAGTTATTTATTTAAACATAAGTTCTGTTGAAGTGAGTTGATTCATCATAAGACAGAACACAATATTTTTTATTAATTAGGTTTGTTTACATAACCATCCATATACAAAACATTCTGTGAAGGTCAGGGATGAAATTGCAAAATATGGATAACCGATCTTGTGATTCTGACTTTGTTTACATACAGATGGATATGTCCCTACACTTTTGCTATTATGATTTTATGTTTGAAAATGTAGTTCACTGCCTTCTTTTCATTAAAGATTACCACATGTCACTCTAATTTTGATATTATGTTGTCCTGGTTTCATTGGTTGTTTTTTTTCTTAATTAATGAATTCTTGCTAGTTAAAGATGGTGTTTTTTGTTACACTATTCTGTGCTGTGACATGAACCTCAGTTATTTTGTGGTTGAGTTTATTTTATGATTTATATATGCAAAGGTTAATGTTTTGATTTAGTTTGTTTTACACTTAACATGTTTTGAAACATTTTTCACATGTCATCATGGTCATTGTGTAAGAAACAGAGTAGATGTTGTGTTTGATGTTCTCTCTCTTTCAGTAATAATCCTCATCTTTTTCATTAATTATTGATATTTAATGTAGCCTGTTTGAAGAGAATATCAGGCCAATTTACAACTGTCCCTACATCATGTACACACACACACACACACACACAATACAAGCAGTTAATCTTTAATTTTAGTTAGTTATGCATATGTGATGTCTCATCATGATTGTATTTGTGAATTTGTGACATATTTTTGTGTTAAGTTGTCGGTGCCAAAAATGTTAGTGTGCACTAGCCCAAACATGGAGCTTAATTTTCAGAAATTTTCTAGATTTCAATTAGAATCTAAAAGACTATAATCAGTTAGCTTACTGTTTGGCAAGCTTATTAATCTTGGTAAAAGACCCAAATATATTTCACAAGATCCAGACTTTGGAAGTTGTGGCTAATGATCCAGATTGGAAGCACCTGCCATCAACAAATGAAAAGAATGGCTATTTATAACATGTACATGAGGGCGTTCATTTGATTAATGTATGTTGATAAAATGATTAATTCAGCTCCTTCAAAAGATATATATTGCATTTTTCCTTGTGTTCATCGTATTAGTACCATTTTGTTTGTGAAAGGCCACAAAAGCCTTTGTTTTGGACAACCTACTTCCCCGAGCAATATATCCAAGATTGATTAAATTGTTTTGATAGCTTTTTTTTCAAAACACTTGCCAAAGTAGCATGTCTGTCTGTCAATTTTAGTATTTATTCAATGATTTAGATGGAAAAAAAGCAACCAAAACACCTTCCTATGGTCAACCTACTTCATATAAACTAGGTCATGTTGCCCAAACAGAGATACTTTCAATGCTGACCCCAATTAACACCAGGTGCTCTCCAGATTTATCGTTCTGTATTATGGGGGCCTGAAAATAATCAAGACTGGACCAGGAAAACTACTTCAATATTGCTAGTGTATGGTAATCTGCATCAGCAATGGTCCATGTTGTTGTTGAACATATACTCAGTGACATAATCATCTCCGTATGACTGCCCCCATTAACATGTTACTAGAATATGAGCACCTGCCTCCCTGTCTTATCCTGTCAGAAGAATGCATTTGACATCATTGTTGATTGTCAACAAGAAAAACGTGTGACAATCAGTTTTCGAAATAAGCACCTGTTCGTAGGTCTATGGCAGGTAGATCTATTGTCAGGCCTGCAGTTTCAAATTTGTATGGGTCCTTATGGCCTGTGGTAAATTTATTTGTCACAATATGCTGCTGGTTTTTATGAGGGCCTGAAAAAGTTTAGTCATGGCATGCAGCTTCTCAAATCTGAGGGTCTTGCAGGCCTGGCATATTTTTCTTATTGTCTAACACTGATTATGATAGAGTAACTGTAAGTTCAACATTATTTCACTCTGAACAATATCCTTACGAAGGTCCACATCATTGTATCCCATTTAGCACCACTTTGGTTTGTTTAACACCCAGGATATTAACAGCATTGATTACGGTAATATATCATTAAGTCGCATGCTTGTTATGAATATTGTGTTGTGGATATGTTCTGAACATCATGCACATGAGTAAGTTGAATTCTAGCAGCGATTTCATAAAATGGCCAATACAATAGTCAAACACTGGATATTGATCTGTGCTGATGTACATGTAAATGATACCTATTGTGTCACATTTTAGCTCACGTGACCGAAGGTGATGTTGTGGGAATTTGTCAGTCATGGTGGCTATATTGAAAATGTAGTTTTTGCTCATTACTCTGCTCATTATATATGCAGAATAACATATACCGTATTCAACCTAATAAGCGCCCCGCCCTAATAAGCAACCACGGCGATATTTGCTAATATATTTGCTAGTGAACAATATCAATTAGCACCCTTCCAATTGATCAATGTACTCAAGACTTATTTATTCGTGTATAATACACACTAGTGTGTATGCACCCTTAATTACTGGGAATTAAATTCTGGAAAAATATATCTTGTGTATAATACGTACAGACTTTTCTTTTGTATCATTTCAGGCTGTCAGCATAAACCACAAAACTCTTTCACCAAAATTATATTCTAATAAGAGCCCCCTATTTCTAATTTTGAGAGCACCCTGGGCGCTTATTACGTCATATACGGTAGTACATTTTGTGAATATTTTGAATGATTGTTTTATCAATATGTGACCTTGACCTCAACCATGTAAAAATACAGTTTTCCTTGTATCCACTGGAAATACAAGGCCTATGGAGTCTAAACTTTGTATGAATTTTCCCAGCTGTGGTGTCTAAAAAAGGTATCACAGAAATCTGATCCAATATTAAGGGGCTAGTACGTCAACTGTTTTGAAACATTGTTTGGAAACAACACTTGATAACCCCAGAGCTTATCCCGCGGAGAGGTTTCTGTGGGCGTGGTCTTATCACATGACCAGACTTTTCTCTTGTTTGTTAACAAGCCTTTCTGTGCACTTTACATATAGTGATATACAACAAATTTTCTCCAAAACTATTTTAAGTCAGTGAAATGAAATTTTACACACTAATGTTACTGGTCATGATCTCAAATGAGTTCGGAAATTGGCGTCGTAAATTCATTTTTTTACACAGTTATGGCCCTTTTTCTGTGCCTTTCAACTTAGTACATACTGCATGAAAACTGAAGTTACATGAATGAAAGTTCTTATTTGCTACCTACCGAACTGGATTGACCTCTGTGGTCTCTGTCATAACACTAATGTTAAAAGATTAAAAGTTTTGAGGGCCTTAGATTTAAATACAAAAGCAGCAAATCTCAGCCTTTTCAAGGACAGCAGGTCCCCCTTCATTTCAAACACTGAATAGATATGAACATGTTCACAGAAATCAGAACCTCCATTACTTTTAAATTTTCAGGAATATGTTTGCCTGTCAGCATGTTCAGTTGACATGAATGTTATATGTTAATTTCTAATGCTTAATATGTTAGCATTACAAACGCCATGACTGGTTTAGTGCAACAGACAAAGCCTACAATGTTCTGATTTTTCATGACTATCACAACACCTTGTTACCATGGGTACATCACAACTCATGAGAATCATGATGAGGGCGGCAGTGTTTTCAATGATATGTCACTGCACACTGTACACATGCTGAAACAGCAAGGTATTCAAGTACAGACCAACAGTGGCAATGTTTGTCAAATGACTGAGAAATGTTTACAGAATCAATTATTTTCTTGTGAAATAGGGTGGTAGATGTAATAAATGTCATCTATTTCATTTCCTGTTTCAAACAGAAGATTCAGATGGTGGACTACCAATTTAATTACCCTCAGTATTTTCAAGGCCGATCACTAACTGGGTTAATAGATGAAATTATCATTATTATTATTATTATTATTATTATTATTATTATTATTATTAAACACCTAAACTTGGTTGAACAGTTCCATGACACATGAATAATGAAGCAATAGTTATCTTCAGAAGAAATCGGAGATGTGCAATAAGTCCTGAGACAGGTCACTGTCACATGATCACATGTCATGTTCAGCTGAAGTGATTACATCTTGATAACAGTGTAAACACATAATAACTAGTTAATGACGAATGCTGAAGATTGTAGTCATTATCACAACACAAGTATTGACTAATTGAGTCAAAATCTTTTGTGCTTACTGACCAGAATTAGTTGTTTTGTATTGTTAATTTGTATTGTTTCTGTCGATTTTTTGTGAATGAATAGGCTACAAGATGCTGTAGAAGTGTTGACCCTGGCTACTGGCTAACAGGAGTAATGTAGCAGGCTGTTCACTAGTAGAATCTACCTTGTCTCATGTTATTGGCTTGTGAAGACCTGGTCCTCAGCAACCCATGCTTGTCACAAGAGGCGACTATGCTTTTCGTAAAAGGCGACTAACAGGATCGAGTTGTCAGATTTACTGACTTGGTTGATGCATGCCATCATATCCCAATTGCATGGATCGATGCTCATGACATCAATCACTGGATTGTCTGGTCCAGACTCGATTATTTACAGACCGCCATCTTAATGCTGGAATATTGCTGAGTGCGGCATTAAACAACAAACAAACATACAAACATGTGACTTGATTGGATGACTGTTCGGGTTGTTTCCTTTGATTTGAGGAAACAGGCCTTCGACAAACAAAGTGGGGGTTTGGGGGACCAATAAATAATTCAAAGGGTCCTTGCAGGCAATATGAGGGGCCTGTAAAGTAATGAAATGGTATAGTGTACTGTACATTTTGATAATTACTTTAGAGCCTGGAATGAATCAATAATCATGTGGACAGTGGTTATGGATGAAATAACAGTCACTCGTAACTGCTCTTGATGTGCTGTTGTTACAACGAATATTATTGAGAGTCTTTCGGGACATATATTTTTTTCTGTCCATTCTCTACATTTGTGCATACTGGACACATTTTTGTGTGTCTCTTATAAAACCCTGAGGAAAATGGAGTATATTGAATCACAGCAATCTTCCCAATAATTGCTAGTCTCCCACTGTGTGAATGTTTTGAAGTTTATCATGTTTAGAGTGTAATTTCCAGCATAATGTCAGAGTGTCATTATCTCTGTTGTGTAGCTATGCACTTTTGATGATGGGAGAAGCGGCCGGTGCTGCAGCCTCAAGTACACCCCAGTTGTCCCAGCTTCAGGTTACCAGTAAGTCTTGCTCTCAATCAGCATTCCTCGTATCATTCTTCTATAATATGTTCTTTCTGGAGTTTCTTTGTTTAACACGTGAGACATTTGCCATGAGTATGTCCTGATTTGACATGCAGTGTTTGTCAGCACTGTGACTCAGTAGAGGGTTGTTAATCATTGTGCATGATCTCCTCAACACACCCATGTCACTTGTCTAGTTGCTGCCTGCTTTTCTGTTGGGGTGATCACAGTTAAATAAGCCAACAAGATTTACTTGTTGTCAGAACGAATTTTGTTTTAAAGTGTGTTTGGGGCGAGGTCTTTTATTTCCAGAAAGTACCAACTGATCAGAAGCAGTCACTTTTTGTCAGGGTGATTATTTATTTTCCAACTAGTGCAGGCTGCAGTTTACAACTGACTTGCATAACAGATAAACTGGTAGCACCACATACTTCTTTTTACTCATGTCAATTGATATATCATGATATAATTAAAGGGTGTATTTCATTACTTAACATTGCTTAAGATTACATAGCATTGCTAAAGAAAACAAAGGATATACAGTGTGGACACAAGCAGTAATAATAAGTCTTAATGGTCACCACGTTTAAGATACTTCTTGAAACCCAATGAGTTACAGCTAAGTAGGTCACACAGATTAGACTATTTTGCCAAGAATTTTTCAACCAGATAAATGTTGTTGTTTTCAAAATTTGGATAAAAGAGTTTAGTTTTTCCTGCAATACTAGAAGTATGGATATCTTTTACTTAAAATAATAACATGATAAATTAATTTTGAGTTTTTGTCATTGATGGCCAGTAGTATCTGGTTTTTATCAAATTTATTTTCAAAAGGAAAACTATTATTAAGATAGTTCTCTAGTTGTGTCCAAAATGGTTTAATTAGTGGCATTCTATATAACCAAACATCAAGGATTCTGGTTCCTTCTCACAAAAGGAGCAAATGTTAACATCAACAATATTCATCGTATACAATTCTGTTTTTGTATTAATAATTCTATATACAAATCTATATTGGAAGTCTTAACAGCTTAATGCCTTTTGTACATCTTCTGTATTGTAAAAATACTTCTTCCCAAGAAATGTCAATCTTGATAATTTGGTACCATTTGTTACATACTCACAAATATGTGAAAGAGTTTTGAGCCTTTTTTCATTAAACATTTTAAAGGACACAAAATAGCAATAAGATACTGCATTCTTGTACATTTGTATATGTTGTAGAAGTCTTAATTATTTTGTTCAGAATACAAACATTTTGCATTAAAATCAAATTATAAATTTCATTTTCTTTTTGACATGTTTGAGGTGAAGTCATTTTCTGTTTTCTCTGCATGTTTCAACAATGAGGTGGATGTATTTCAGTTGTTTCTGCCAAGCTAAATGGTAGTGGGGGTGTATTTTCATCCAAGCCAGACCCTTACCTAGAGCTCAGTGTTGACGGGCAGCCACCGAAGAAAACTGATGTCTCCAAGAAAACTACAACTCCAAAGTGGGATGAACACTTCACTGTGTAAGTTGGCAATTGGGATTAGTTTTCGTGGTGTAAATGTCTTTTTATGAGCATTCTTCAGGTAGTAGTAGTAGTAGTAGTAGTAGTAGTAGTAGTAGTAGTTAGGGATTGAGGTCACATGACCATGATGACAATGTTGACAGCATGTAAAAGGGATGTTGTGATTGAAGGGTTTAGAATTGTGATATGTGTTATAGAGCAGACTGGGTATTTCCCTAGCCTGTAAGATCTCAGCATCATGATAATGGAAATAATTCCTTTGATGTATTGTATGAGGTAATTTTCTGTCATGTTATATCGCAGGAACTGAACTATGTGTACAGGGTAATTCTTAATAAGTGTGTTAGGTGGTAATTCATTGTGCAGAATGATCTCGCTGCTATATGGATGAAATAATGTTGATGCGAAGTTCAATTCTCTCACTCACTCACTCACTCACTCACTCACTCACTCACTCACTCACTCACTCACTCACTCACTCACTCACTCACTCACTCACTCACTCACAATGATACATGTAAATGTCAAACTTACAAATAGTTTATGTGTATGTAATGATACTTTCCACCCATAAATAACAATCTGTAAAGACATACAGGTACACCATCTGTAAAGACATACAGGTACACCATAAGACATACAGGTACACCATCTGTAAAGACATACCCGTACACCATCTGTAAAGACATACAGGTACACCATCTGTAAAGACATACAGGTACACCATCTGTAAAGGCATACAGGTACATCATCTGTCAAGACATTTAGGTACACCATCTGTAAAGACATACAGGTACACCATCTGTCAAGACAGGTAATGACATACAGGTACACCATCTGTCAAGACAGGTAATGACATACAGGTACACCATCTGTAAAGACATCTTGTCTGGAAAATTGCTGAGTGTGGTGCTAAACAACAAACAAACAAACAGCATTGTAAATTACACACAGTGTCATTACACTTTTCAGTTTTAGAATATGTTCATAAGTATTTGTATGTACTAGCAACTCAAAATTGTGTTATGGTTTATGGTACATATTTTGTGCAGCTTATCTGCTATCAGCTTATCGGCTATATTATGTAAAAACGTTTCTAGTTAATATTTTATCATAAGTTCAGATTGATAAACAAGTCAAAATTGCGGCTGTACATACTCTTCATAGTTAAGGGGGGCGCGGGTGGCCCAGTCGTCTAAGGCGCCGCAATTCGCTGTGCAGAGTTGCGTCCTTTGGGTACGCCAGAAACCTCTGATTGTGGGTTCGAATCCCGGTTTGCCCCGATTATGTTTCTAGGTTTGTCAGCACCATACTCGTGCTCGTGGGTTTCACCGAAGTGATAAACGTCTGAGACCTGCATCACTTTGGGCTTTCCTCCCACATTAAGCTGACACGCCGTGATATAACTGGAATACTGTTAAAAGCGGCATTAAACCCAACTCACTCACTCACTTCATAGTTACGAGGCTTCAGTTTATTTGGTTTCATGTTCAGCAGCTCCATAGCAAACCATTTTATGGTCAATAATTACTTACAGATTCTTGTGATTTTCTGTGTACTTGCGTCATTGTAATATTCCGTATATGTCCGCAGATAAGCTGAATTTTGAGGACCAGAAAAAAGATTCTGTAGGTTGGCTTAACCACGGGATACACTTTCATGATAGTATTTTTCAGATCGTGATCTGTAAGAAACATCCCCGAATGGCGGTCCGATAGATTACAGCTTCCCGAAAGTTTGGAAGTTGCCACGACTAGAGCCATTATTGTTATAAATTATCATAAAGTTATTATTATACACCAATGTTGTCATTATTAAAAAAATGTTATGCATGTTACTACTTCCGATAATAAGTTTTCAATTGAATGTTCAAAGTTTATCGTTCTTCATAAACTCCACAATCTTTACATGTAACAATATATGTAATCCACAGCTATAATATATAATCCACAGATGAAATCGCCAATAGCTATTGCAAAGTTCATAAATTGATAGTGAACAAGTATCTACCTTTATTGAAAGAGGCAAATAAACAACTGTAACGGCGAGTTATTCTGTTCACCATTTGCAAAAACATGTGATCAGCTGTTTCCTGTGACGTCACAAACAGTAACCACTGTGATTGCTTCCTGTTGTTTAAAAAAGCAACACGGTACACAAGGAAATGAGCACTGATAATAAAGGGGCCGTTTGGTATTGTTAATGTTTACACAAACACTTTCAAGTTGTGGGTGCATAGCGATCGTGTTGGGAGTAGGGGCTTAATTTCTTTGTTTTCGAGAGATTAGTTTAATAAACTGGAGAAGTCTGTGAGTAAGTGATGGTCATTCAATGTGTTCATAGTTTATTTAATTCAATTGGATTAACATACAATAGTGGTATAAAGGGGGGTTATAAAGATTGGTATATTTTTACTGACTGACATTCTCATCATGACAAATGAAAACGCCATGCTTACGATGCTGCATTCAAACTGCGAGTCTTCGCTCTAGCTGATATATTTTCTCACCGGTTCATAATTCTATATACACCGATTCACAAAATGGCGCTTCACTTTCACTTCCGGGTTCGGCTTATCTACGGGTCATATAATTTTCTTTCGTATTTCAAAGGTCAAGTTAATACCTCGGCTTATCTACGGGGCCGGCTTATCTGCAGTCATATACGGTACAGCTTTTGGAAGCTGGGTATGTTTGTTCAGAACTGTAACAAGTAGCCCCAAATGTCTACGGGTAACTTCAGTTTCCTTCTCAGTCTGATTGTACATCAAGAAGAATGGTTTGTATTGCAGGCTTGTGACTCCATACTCGAAGCTAGACTTTAGGGTGCTGAGCCAAAACAGCATACGTACAGACACTCTACTTGGCCAAACAGTAGTTGACCTCCACGCCTTACTGGAGGAAAACCAAGGAAAATGTGAGTAGAGGCGCTAATTTGAACATATCCTAGAATAAAGCATTTTCAAGCTGTTCTAAGGAATAGTTCAACTATTTTTTAATGAGAGTTATGTAAAGGCCTCAGTGACTCTCAACCTCAATGTTGAATATAAACCATAATTAAGAAATGGAGTTTTGGAGCATTTAGAAGGAGTGGAATTAAGAGATGCCCATCTTGACGCATGCTTCAATGATTTATTTTCTATTTTCAGTCAATGAATTGCGGAAGGTGTTTGAACTGAAGTTAGAGGGGAAGGGGAAAGTGGGCGACTCAACTGTTGTGTTTAATGGTATGGAAGTGAACATGAAGAACTTTCCCAAGAAGACCGCTGCAGGTGGGTAGTGTAATCACAGATATATGTTCCATGTAATGTACCTTGGTCATTGTAAGATTCTGTAGATATGTTAAAGTTTACTCCTTATGATAATTATATTGTGATGGAATAGATCCCAAGTATCCCATGCATGTCATAAGAACTGACTGGTTACCTTGTTGTTTGAGTATCATTGTTCACCTGATTGCTGCTGGATGCAGATTCACTAAAATACAGGCCGCCATGATATAGCTGTTGCCTACTGTAAGAGAACTTACTCTTCCACTTATAAGAGATTAATATGATTACTTCTGGTTTCTAACAGGATCCAAAGTTCAAAATGGAAGTACATCAAGAAGTAACCGCCACAGCAACCCAGAAGGAAGGACACCTAGCCGATTGCCTCGGAGCAACAGTTCCTCCAACCAGTCCAATGTAGCACGTGCTGCCCCTCCTCGCCCTGCTAACCCCCCAGGGGGGAGCTCATCAGCACCAACCACTCCGTCATCAAACGCCACTACTCCTGTTGCCAGTACCCCCCCAGCAGGGGCTGCAAACACGCCGCCAGCTGTCGGTGAGGAATTTAGTTTGCAGGCTTCTTTAAAGGGAACAGATGTATTATGTTGTATTATGTTGAGTTTGTGTTATTTTCTTGACCACTACAGAGATTGTATACTGTCATGTTGATTATTAATTCCTTTCTGTGATTGTTTTATAAATAGTTAACTGGCAATGGGGTAACCTTTGGTTAAAGCATTCGCCTGTCACACCAAAGACCTGGGTCGATTCCCCACATAGGTAAAATGTGTGAAGCCCATTTCTGGTGTCCCCCGCTGTGATCTTGTTGGAATGTTGCTAAAAGTGGCATAAAGCTATACTCACTCACTCACTCACTCATGCATTTTGTATAGTTAATGATGCAAAGACTTTAATGATCATGTAAACGCCAACACAAGCAAGCATCCTCCTAAAATTTCGCACGGTTTTGATAGAAGTCATAGTCAGCATTGTCTACATGTGAAGTGTTGTGTATTTATCAAGATGTATGTTCTGCAGTACCTGGCACACCAACTGCCCATCAGAATGGTGCAGTGGTAGGAGCAGCAGGGACCCCTGGTGGGCCACCGCCGCCACTGCCGCCACCAACTACTGGCACCACTGATGCTCCACCTGGAAACCCATCAGCAGCAGAAACAGCCATGAATGCAAACACTGAGCCTTTACCCCCAGGGTACGGAACACTGCTGTAGACACTGTTGATTGGACAACCCAAGCCAACTTGATCAATAGCTGAGGCAGCAATATATTTTTTCTTCCAAAAATCAAATGTTTTGGATGGTTTATGGCTAAAGAATTGCTCATATGAAACTTCAACTCTCATAGTTTGATCATCCTTGGTTATCCAGTGTATTTTGTCGCCATATTGTGACTCTTGATGCATTCACCACCATAGCTTTGTTTTGAGTCTGATTAGAAGTACATAATGCTGAAAAGCAATCAATAACACTCAAGAATGTCTGAAATCCTTTTCGATGTTAATGAAGAAATTGACATAGGGATGTCGTCTCTAAAACAAAGCTATGGCTGTGCTCCAAGGTGTTGATCATATGAATAGAATGAGGCTATAGTATCAATACTGAGGATGTAGTTGTAAAGATACTGAATGTAGTTGAAAAGATGGTTAAGATCCGGGGTAGAATAGATTTTCAGCAACCCATGTTTTCCCTAAAAGGCGACTATACTTGTCGTAAGAGGCGACTAACAGGATCAGGTGGTCAGGCCCTCTGACTTGGTTGATGCATGTCATCGTATCCCAATTGGTAGGATCAATGCTCATGATGTCAATCACTGGATTGTCAGGTCCACACAGACCGCCCACATATAGCTGGAATATTGCTTAGTGTGGCTTTAACCAACAAACAAGCAAGCAAACAAACATAGATGGTGAACATTTGCGAAGGTGTATTTTGCGAACTAAAAGGCAAATTAGTTTCACTGTTACATATATGATTTTGTTTGGTCATTGCCTTATTAGACATGTGAATCCCTGACAATGTTATGAATTGCTGTGCACTTTTTCCCAATATTTTGTTTCTGTTATTGTTTTGCATTGGTTGAAAATATCCAACAGTTGCTTGTATATCTACGTCTTTACTTTGTGTATTGTTTGTGTATATTTAGTTGAGGTGTCTGCATTATTAAGTTAATGATCTACTTGTTTGTTTTCAGATGGGAGATGCGTCTTGATCAGCACAACCGCCCATACTATGTTGACCACAACACCCGCACAACAACGTGGGAACGACCGCAGCCTTTACCACCAGGGTCAGTTATGTTGATGATTTTTCAATAATTAGTCAATCTTTACAAAGGATTGAAATGTCTTTAATTATTTGGCAACCCTGGCTTTGATTTGAATCTTCCTTGAAAAGCACTGAAAATTCAATTAAATGCCTTGAGAGACTCCTCTGTTGCATAAACCATAAGTTCAGTTGCTTGAGCATTTTCGTTCATCAGATGGTTTTCTTCATGCTTGAAACTTGGCTTCATACAAATTGATTGTGAGCTGTCTGAAGTATTGTTTTATGTTTGCAGCTGGGAGAGGCGAGTTGACAACAGAGGCAGGGCGTACTATGTCGATCATAACTCTCGGACAACATCATGGCAACGTCCAAACACTGACATGGTACAGAACTGGCAGAACTGGCAGGAATGGAGGAACAATCGTACATTTGAGCAACTCCAGCGCCGCTTCCTGTTCCCCCAGTTCACCCAGCAGGACACCAGTGACCCCCTCGGACCTCTCCCAGAAGGATGGGGTAAGCAGTCCACCAATGTTACCTGTTCCTGTAAGATGTAGATCTGGCCTTGTCTTACGAGCATCGCAGGCCAATATTTGATGTCATTGTATTTGGCAAAGTGTGATAGAGGATGATTAAGTACCTCCTAACTAAATACCAAAAATCGAAGAGTGAGTTTATGAGCTTGTTACTTTTAATACAAGCAGTAAGAAATACCATTCCTGCAAAGAACAGGATAAGGATGCATAAACTACTTTGCAACATGATGTATTGGATGTGTGGTTTGTGATACGGAGATGACTTTTGGGGAAAGGAGGTTTAAATATACAACAAATACAGGTAGTGCCCTGGAGAAAGTAGGATGATTATACTTTACCATTTTTTCTGCAGAGAAACGGGTTGATGCAAATGGGCGTGTTTACTTTGTTAATCACAAGAACAGGACGACACAGTGGGAGGATCCTAGAACACAGGGGTATGTATTCTACACAACATTCTGTGGCTTCTAATATTATCTGGATCATCATCAAGTGTAGTTTAAGCATTATTGGTTTTGATTACAACCTTTGAGATGTCTTGAAATCAGATTCTTGTTGTGAAGCGAAAGTCATACTAATGTAGCAATATGATTTCTGTGTGAGAGTTTTAACATTGTTTACATATATTTGTAGCATAGTGCAAGAGGATCCCCTGCCGGAGGGCTGGGAGATGCGCTACACTGGTGAGGGTGTACGTTATTTCGTTGACCACAATACCAGAACAACTACATTCCAGGACCCGAGGGGAGGGCCGTCCAAGGGGTGAGTTCAACCTTAGGTCATCATATTTCCTAATTCTGCATAAATCATGATACCTTGGTCACAGTTGGTGTTCTACTGAATCTCAAATGCAGGCACATGTCCTTGAAGTTGGGGCATCAAAGACATGAATTATTCCTTTCTGGTTTTGAAGTGGGACTAACTGTGGGAAGACTGGCCTTTAAGTCTAACTTTGCTTGTTTTCTGAGTAAAAAGGGTTGAAATCAGTAATTATGGGGGTAACAATCTGTTCAATATACTACAGAACAGAAAAAGGCAAGTGGATTAAAAAAGCTTTCACTATGAAAATGAGGGTGGTGTTGAAAAACTTTTTGCCAGCAACAATTTAAGAGTTAACATATTTAGACTGCAGTGGAATCATTTAAAACTGGATTCTGACTACCGTATTTTCTTGAATATAGTGTGCATTATAAATCAGGATTCAGCTGAACACACGTTTTCTTGGAATCTACCGATGATTCGGTCAAGACACACCCAATGATATAACTTTACAGGATTTTAATGCAAGGATCGGCTTAAATTGTATCTGAAACTATTTTTTATCAGGAATAATATATTCCAAATTTTTAAACTTATCCTAGCTCACACTTTGCATTTCTCCCTTCTTCTTCGATCCTATGTGGGAACGTGCTTGAATCATGTTTCCAGCTTCTAAAACTAAAAATAGCCACCCAAGCCCCCCTGCATCTCCATGGTTACGTCCAAAAGCTAGGTCAGTAACGTGCTTCTCGTGCACACAGTGCCTACTTGAACTGACCATGTGTGCGCCTCTACCAATTCATTCTCTTTCTCATAGCCACTGTGTGGCAACGTGTTTGAAAACATCACAGAATCATTGTCCTTTGCCAGGTTATTCGAGTATCCTAAATAAATATGGGAAAGAAGGACAATCAACGTCCTACTTGTAAAGAATGCAGACATACCTATTCCACGTCGGATGCCCACTTATTATGTTCCGACTGTCAGGGGACAGTGCATCCTGAGCTCCCGATGTGCAGAATGTCATTCCCTAACTAACTCGGATTTTAAACTTTACCTGCAACGTTGTCGTCGTCGTATTGCTGATCGCCGTTCCAAAGCAAGGGATTCCAAAGCTACTACCAGCTCATCACGCCTTAAAGACAATCCTGTCAAACCTGTAATTTCTATCACAGACGACACCCTCTCAGACAGCTTCCTTACAGACGACTTTACCTCTCGCAACCTGTCTACATCTCCACAAGAATATGCAGGTCGATGTGCGCTCGACCGTCTGACCAACCCGGGTCCTGCTCTCGTTATACCAACGACAGATTGCTCAAGTCCTTTCAAAGTCCCGCTCTTGGATTCGGCTTGCTCTGCACCCCCCTGGGGGCTAGAGATACAGTCGTCGATGTGACTTCATCTCGGGTCGTTTAACATCGCCACACTTCGGTACAACGTTCTCCTCCCAAGGCGACAGATCGGCATTCCCACTCCCATGATCGGCGCTTTCGTTCCAAGGATTGGCATTCCCGCTCCCGGAATTGGTGCTCTCACTCACAGGATCGGCACTCCCGCTCCAAGGATCGGCGTTCCCGCTCCTGTGATCAGCGCTCTCTCTCACTGGTTCGACGTTCGTGCTCGCAGGATCGGCATTCTCGATCGAGTTTACATGAGCGTCATCGTTCCCGCTCACGATCGTCTTCGACTAACGGTAGAGACCAGTCATCCATCATTGACTACTACCATAGCGGCTACCCTCACGGGAATGTGTCGGCGGTGGATACCTACGCGCTCATAGAGGATGGGATACCTTCCCGATCTACCATGACTTTTTATTACCAGCGTCCCGGATACCCATACTCACAGTTTCATGACTACCGCTCTTCTGCCGGCTACGCCTACCCACCTCACAGTTCAAAGGATTGGTGTTTCGTTGTCGTATAAAGGACGTGATCGTCAAAGTCATTCTCGGAGCACGATTTTTGTCGGCGCACAGATCGCCGGAGCGTAATCCTTCTAGGTCGGCTCCTCCCGACCCTTGTCCACCTATCCTACCCACGTGTTGGGATCACAGGGATCAACAACAGACTTCGGAACCATCGTTTAATTGTCTTGTGAAAGCAATATCCACTGTCCTCCTTCACTGTTCGGATCCTTCATCGACTCCTCAACCTACTGTTCCTGTTCCGGTTCCAGTTGTCTCCTGTTTGACCCCTCCCGGCTCGGGTGGTTAGGCCTCTACTTCGGCCGATCCCAATATCCAGCCTCAACCAACTGACAGTTCATGCGTCAGTTGTTCTTGACGATCCTGCATCAAAGCCTTTCCTCTGTTGGGAGTTATGAACCAGCGGACCCTGAATCAGTCTTGCATTGGATAGCTGATAAACTGCAGTTACAGCGGACGACTTCGGCTGCGGATAGGTTCTCTGGATTCGCAGTTCCATCGGCTAGTTCGTCCAAGATCACGCTCCTCCAAGACCGGTCTTACTGGACATTAACTCTAACCTAGACACGGCTTTCGCGTCCTTTCGTTGAGCCCCACGCTCTTCGTCGCTGTGGTGTGCTACAACATTTTTCCTGGGATGACCAATTATGGCCAAACTGTATCAGCAAACCTGGTCTTCTCCCACCTTGTTTGCTGATGCGATACAACAGGTTGCACAGGACGTGCAGAGAGATTCTAGCCTTCAGGTCACGGTGGACCTTCTACATCTCCAGAAAAGACAATTGGAGAATCAACAGGAAAAGGGTCGCCAATATCCCAAATTTGTTCCTGCCCAGCACGATTTACGTGAGCTTATTTCGTCCCGGCCTAATCCCTTTCGAGGGCATGGCAGAGGATGAAGAGGTCAACAGGGCTCGAAGCCCTCCTCGGCTCGATCGGTCGCCTTTACCGGACCCAAGAGCACAGGCAAACCTTCCCAAGGGGGAGGTTCAGCAGGAACTTGACTCCTTTGCAAATCGGCACGACTGGGAACTTCTGCCCTCAGTCGTTCCCGTTACAGCACTCCGGTAGGCAGAAGACTCCAGATCTTTGCGAGCAATTGGACCATGCTCTCTACCGCTCAATTTCCACCAGGCGCCTTTATAAGTTGGCGGTTTTTGAGACTTATTGTCGCGCTCGTGATATTTCTACTCCTACCTCGGCTTCGCCTCAACAGATAGACGAATATTTAATCACCTGCGTTCGACTTGGAAACTTCGAGGGTCCACGTTGGCAACCTACCTCGCGGGTATTAACTCTGTCATCGCCACCACTTCCGGTGCGAAGGTTTCAACGATTATGGAACTACAATTGCTCCTCCGTTCCTACAAATTAGCCAACCAGCTGCTGTTTTCGGCCTCCTTCGTGGGATCTTAACGTTATTCTTCAACACCTGGTTTCCGGTGATTACGAACCACTGACAGAGAAGGATTTCGAGACAGTTACGCTGAAGACTGTTTTTTGTTGACTTTGGCCACTGCCGCACTGGTTAGTGAATTCATGCTTTGGATGTCACTAGGGTCCAGTTTGACAGATTCGGAAAGTGGCAAAGCGTTTCTGGGGCTTTGTTGGGATTTTGTGACAAAGAACCAACTTCCCGGACAACCGGAACGGCTATTTACGATTCCTAGCTCTCGGTTATTTTAGGATCGAACGACCATGAAGACCTTACTTTGTGCCCGGTTCGGGCGCTTCAAATATATCGCGATGCATCCACAGACATTCCCGGGAGAGAGACTTTTCATCCCATTGTCAACAGCGTCTACATCAGTAATTTCTCGGACGACGCTATCGTTCTGGCTCCGCTCCATCATTCTGCGAGTGTATACTTTCGCCGGGCTGCCCCAACTACAACGTCAAATCCTCACGAGACTCGTGCGGTTGCTTCCACCATGGCCCTCCACAGTAACTGCACCCTCTCAACCATCATGGAAGGGTGCTTTTGGAAGTCTGTGTCTCATACTGTGTTTGTGACCCACTACCTTTGCGACATTTCAGTCACAGACGTACAAGGGCTCCACAAGTTTCGGTCCATTGGTATTGGCTCAACAGTTATCTCGCCCCAGTTCACGCAGATAATAAACACTTATACTACATGGGTTACAAGTGTATAAACAGAATAAATCATTGAACATTTACATGGTATTACGTGTTCGATTTTTCCCGGATCGAGTCCCTTTTGGAGGGTGGATTAGCTCGTCAGAAGAGACCTATTCGTCTAATTTACGAAGTGACCAATCGGTGCAGCCGATCGTATACATTCAGTCACAATTGTACAAGGGCTCAACAAGTTTGGTTTGCCCCAGTTCACGCAGAAAATAAACTGTTATACTTCGTAATCCTACAGGTAACAATTGTATATACAGAATAAATCATTAAACATTTACGTGGTATTACATGTTTTTTCATTGTTCAGGTTTCCCAGATTGAGTCCCTTTTGGAGGGTGGATTAGCTAATCTGTAGAGACTTTTTAGTTGCTGTTAATAACGAAGGGTTGTGCGATCTTCTGATCGCTTCACACACAATTTCGCCTAAATTTATTAAAGCAGTATTAAAAGGAACTGTTAATAAAATTTATGTTAGTTACAAACATAAGTTCAGATATACATAGAACACTTTTTATAGCCAGACTGTAATTACATGATTAATTTGCGTATCTTAGTATGGATTTGTTGACATGGTATTTCCGGTGTTACGTGCTCACGGTAATGTCTTTCTGTTGGGGGGAAAAAACATCAAAACTCATTATTGCGTGTATAATGCGCACCCCCTTCTACACAGCTGTGTTTTTTGGAAAAAAAGTGAGCACTATACTCAAGAAAATACGGTACTCTGGATCTCTGTCAATAATGTACACCTTTGGGTCCCGAATTTTCTATACTGAATGAAAATAGTTAGGGATATATTTTATGAAATTGTGTACTCAGTCTTCACTACAAAAATATATCCTCCAAAATATTCATGTTCCTGAGCAATTTTTTCAGTTTCTTTTAATTTATCACCAAGTAAAATTTGTCTGTCCTGGATTTGTTCACTCCTGATTCCAGATTCCAGATCAACATGTCATGTAAATTATCCTTTCTATTTTGGATTAACTGTTCAGTTTCAAACATGTATTTCTTTTCAACCATAGCTTTATTCTGATAATTCAGCATAAATAATCAACACTCCACAACAAGCATTGCGAAGCACTGTGTTTCCATTGCGTTTACAACACACAACAAAGACACTGTTCTGAGATAATTCTTAAGTTTTGACAAAGAAAAAAAAAGATTTGTGAATGATACTTCTGTTAGATAATTTGTAAACTGCATAGTTCTTGGGAACTGACCCTTGTATAAGTAAATAGATAGTGTCTGCCTCGGCTATGACAGGGTTGTCTGTTCGTGATCAGTAGTAGCAATTTATAGCCAGGTTGACCTCATTTTGAGCTGTAGTTTATGCAATACTTCCTGGTATGAGTGCACTCTTGTTACTTGATCGTTTACATATAATGTGATAAGGATCCTTGTAGCTATGTCCTCAAGCTTAGCTGATAGGGAGGGATTCCATATTCTTTGCCTTTAAAGATTGTATTTTTGTACGCTGTTACAGTAATTGTGTGAGTCCTTATTGATACATGTTTACACGTCGTTGCCATGGCAGTGTTCATTGGCATGATATTTGATATGCATTCCATAAGTGGGAACAGTTGCTGACATTTGATATTAGATTACATGGGGAAGATAACTTTATCTTCTGTAGTGTTTAGACTTGGAGTTTTGACACACGTATTAAGCACCCTGATCCAATAAACACCCTGGTCAACTTCCAGAACAATCAGAAAGTAATATAAGTGTCCCCACTCCCTCTCTTTTGTAATTTGTCTAAGCGCCCAGCACATATTACGTTGATTATTGTAGTATCACTGTCCAAATTGCATAGGTCCTTGATCATGTTGACATTGTTGTTTAATATTTTAACATATAATTAAAATTGTCCCACAATTTCTACTTTCATTTGATACAGTTTACTATCCACGAGGAATAATGGAGAAGCTTGCTCACATGATATTCGGATTTGATATGGACTGAAGTATATTTCCAAAAGTATCAGAAGAATATATGTTGAAACCAGTATCAATGCAAATAGCTAATAGTATGCATCCTGCTTTATCCTTGTTAAATATTTGTGTTGAATGAATTATAACGTGAACTATAAACAAATGTGTCAGACCAAAAATATACATGGTATTTGATGTTTATTCGATCTTGGACCTTGTGATAGGTATTTGAGTTGGTGGTAAAGTAAACACCATTGATCCTATGAGTAAAAGTATTTGTTTACAATTCTGGAATGAATTATCGTTAACTTAGTGTTGCAATCATGCCAGGATGGTATTTGAGTTTAGAAGGGTACAAATATATATTTTTTTTGTAAAATAGTGTTACAGGTTACACACAACCAAATGTTTTCCCATAGACTTCTATAGTAACGTTATATTTTTTTTTTAAATAACTAAGCATTCAACAGCTATTACCTGTACGTTTGTGCACAGTTTGGCCTTAGAGCAGCAATAAAAAAATAATAAATGACTAGCTTAGTCAGCTCCTTTTCTGAGTACCGGAAGCTAAACACAACACCCCCAGTTTCGCACCAAATGTCACCTACTTGAAAATAGCTGTGGTCACATTCAGCATGAGTCATCATGTTGAAAAAGACAGTACTAAATATAGAAAAACATGGTCAGTTTTACTAACTGGATGGATGTACATTTGAAAGACATAAAAATCTTACAGAATATCCTCCAATCACAGCCTGCAGATATCTCTCGATCTGTACTGAAGACTCCCTACGAAAACCGCACTCTCCAAACTGGTACTGATTTGGTGTAGTAGAACCTGTAGACAAATCAGAATATATTTACACTTGTCAAATCTGTGACCGCCGTGTTGTGACAGCAACTACATTTGTGTGACAGTTTAGCCTTAAATTGGATTGCCCACTAATTAAGAATACAAACTTCACTTGTGGTTCTCTTTTATTGCATGCATGCGCTTCTAAGATCAAAGGATGTATAGTGTGAAAAGTTAACTAGTTGAACAATCGTATTTCCGGGACTTGCCGCGGATATTTTCAAACAGATTATTAGAACTCCATTCAGCGATAAACCGTTGATTATGCAATGAGAAGCGTTAGGTGCAAATAAACAACGAACAACAATACAATCATGTCTGTGTAAAACTCTCAGTATTAAAAGTGTACATAAATTTTGGGAGCCATGCGTTACCGCGCGTAATAACCGAAGTAGCGCTTTATCGAAGAGCGCAATAGCGAGCGATCACTGTATATGTAGCTTCTCAGAAAAAAGATGGAAATTGGATTAAACTTCACTACTTGTTCCTATCCAGCATGTCTATGTGGCACCAGAATATATAGTTTTGATGCACAGAAAGAGTTGTGAGAGTTTAATGATGTACACTTCATCAATGTTTTACAAAAGGTATTTCTGTATTAATAAAGAAGTTTTTACCTTCATGCACTGACCATGGGAGTTCATTTATATTTCATAAAAGATGGGGGTCAGGGGTCAATTCTATAAATGATTGAGGCTGCATCGATCATATCACCCTAAAATATTTTTTCGACTAAAAAAATTGAACAAATCTTTAAACCTCAAAACCAGTTACAATACATATTTAAAATTGAGTAGTGGTCTGTTGTTTGCCTTCCTTTGCTGACATCATCAGAACATAGCAGAGTCTGCTACATTCATGGAATATGGTTTTGACACTCATGACATGATGCGATTGATATTGTTTGAGATTGCTTGAACTTACACCATCCATTGTTTATATAATTAAACACTCAAATGGCTGTCAGCATTTGGTAAATCATCTATGGAGGGGCTATCACAAATGTTTGTGCTTTCATATACTCCAAAAATCAAAAGTATAATCACCTATGATATAGGCTGGTGACCTAAGTACACATGGAAAGGAATCAGAAAAAAATCTCAAAATTGGACAGAGAGCATGGAAATAAGGCCAACAATAAGCAAGGGACACATTAAGCAGCTTTAAAGTCATCATATATGTAAGGCTGGATAATGAACTTTACCAGAAAATAGGAAGTAAAGGGGTGCATTGTTAACAGCAATCTCAAACACTGACCAGTGAACCATACCGCCTATTAAAGCCGAGAAATTGAAATGGACCCTCAAGTAGAAAAAAGCTTTTTGAAACCACAACATGGAAGGAAATTACACTTAACTCTATTGATTTATTTAGTTAAGACTTTAAAATACTCACAGGACATCAAACATTCTTACTGTTTAATGTTTCAAGGTGGCTAAACTTGCTTATTTCAGTTATTTGCCAGTTTCAATGAAACAAAGTTAAAATTCCATATGATTTTGAAAATGTACAGCTTATCCTGACATAAATGTAATTCTTTTTATTCACAATTAACAGTGTCATGCAATACCAGCTTAAAATAGTGTTTCCCTCCAATAATTAATGGGTTTATAGGGGAATGAAAGATACAATGCATTTTACTAAACAGGGGAGATAATTTAGTTTTGTCGAACACTATCACATTCTTTACAGATGATTTCAGGACCATAATGTTACATTCCAAAAGAGCCAGTGGGTATATATTTTCATCTAAGCAGGTTCTGGGACTGGTGTATAGCCCTTACTTCATGTTTGCAAACTAAAAAACTGCACAGTGAGGCATTAAGGGAGCACTGTCAGAAATGTCTAGTGCATGAGGGTGATCTTATTATGGCACTTGATAGTGAGCAACAGATGGGCCTCAAGTGGACTGGGGTTCTTAAATGTACTTACTGTACCTACATGTCCAAGTTCCACAACTTCTACACGGTAATAGAGCGCAGCGAGGCAAAACAAGGGTTGTCGATCACACACTGCCAACACCGGACTTCGGATCAGCTTCTCCAAATGCCAAATTGGATGTGAAAACTTCTACTTCTTCTGCATGAGTGCACATATACCTCCCAAGTCAACATCAGGCATGCTAAAAGCTGAAAAATGTGTTCAGACAATATCAAATGGCAAACCAGTTTGGATATAACAGCCAGGAGTCAGTTCTTGAGGGGACAAAATAATGATTTGAAAGTCATATGAGTGAAAAATAAGTCTGTTTTAAGAAACTTAACAGAAAAATAGCATCTTTCATTCACACAAAAGCACCAAATAGAAAGATATATTGGTATGCTACATTGTTTACTATAAATAAGGGGATTTGTGACATATTCTGCTGTCAGCAGTGTACATGCTTCATACTCAAGATAACGGCATCGCGTAACTTGACCGGCAAGCGATTTACACAAGGCAGAAATTGTTGTGGCAGTGGTGACTTTATCCTAATTTGTTGTCAAATTCATCAGTTTCAACAAATTCAGAAGGCAGGAGGAGGGCTTGATGGACAGAGCTACCCTGGGGGGTTTCATGCTGAGTTCGACCACAATACGAAGCAACAATTATTTCCAGGCCATCCAAATGCTCCATTCAACCCAAAATGTCCCCAACTTCACTGTCATTATTTTTAAATTTGCTTCCATGGTGTATCCATGGTGAAATATAAACAGGAAAGCATGTAAAGTATGAATTACTGAAATGTGCACTCACCCAACAGGTTACACACAACCAAATGTTTTCCCATAGACTTCTATAGTAACGTTATATTTTTTTTTTAAATAACTAAGCATTCAACAGCTCATACCTGTACGTGTGTGCACAGTTTGGCCTTAGAGCAGCAATAAAAAAATAAAACATGACTAGCTTAGTCAGCTCCTTTTCCTCCAGATTGACCATGTCACTCTCCCCCCCCCCCCCCCCCCCCCCCCCCCCCCACACACACACACACACACACATTGACCATGTTTACTGAAGAAACTGTCCTCATGTAATAATGTTCACATTGACCATGTCCCCACAGACCCAAAGGTGCCTATGGTGTGCCAATCCAGTATGAGAGAAGTTTCCGCTGGAAGCTGGGTCAATTCCGATACCTCTGTCACTCCAACTCCCTCCCAGGACATGTCAAGATCACTGTGTCCAGAGACAACATGTTTGAGGACTCCTTTGCACAGGTAAAACGATACGCCATAAATGATGCAGTCGACCAATTATTATTGATCATGTACGTGACTGAACTGTTTCTAGTTCACTGTTCTGATTTTAATTATATTGCTCTGGAAATGACCATGTTTCCTGCAAGAATAGTTCCAACCAGGACAGAAATTTGACATTTTGATGAATAGTTGTAGAATTGATTTCACACGATGTGCTTATACCATGTGTCCTGCAGATCATGAGATTACAACCCTATGACTTGAGGCGGAGGCTGTACATCATCTTCAAGGGAGAGGAGGGACTTGACTATGGTGGTTTGGCCAGGTAAAGAGTTTATATTTGGGCTTTTCATTTTATTGTATTATTTGAATGTTTTTTGTTAAATGTAGTTAAAAAATTTTGATAGTCATACAGATTCAAAAGATTTCTCAGATTTTAATTTCTTCAGTTTCTTTTGTGGTCATGTCCATTAGCTTGTGCATATTTCTTACCATGAATTATTTTATCACTTTGCAGAGAGTGGTTCTTCCACCTGTCTCACGATGTTCTCAACCCCATGTATTGCCTGTTTGAGTATGCTAGCAACAGCAACTACTGTCTACAGATCAACCCAGCCTCCAGTGTCAACCCTGACCACCTGCTCTACTTCAGGTTCATTGGCAGGTTCATTGCCATGGTAAGTCAAGGGAGGAGAGCACATGCAGCATCCTTTCATTTTTAAATGGAACTGAATAATCATAAGCATGTAAACATGTGAATTCTCAGCCATCAGTCTAATCTCTTACCCTTTTTTCTCACCATCTTAGTTACCTTTGAATGACCATAAGAAATAATGTCCTCTATATTATACCCTTTGAAATTAAGAATATTATGTTCTATATGATCATTATAAGAAGCTCACATCAGCCTATACCCTTTGAAATTAAGAATACAGTGGTCCCTCGCTACAATGCTACCAATGGGGTCCAAATAATTGGTGGGCGTTATAGACGATGAGCCGTTTAACCGAGGCCGAGGCGGGGGAGCTTGCTCGGCCAATCTCACGATCTTCGCCTTGTCTCGCACATTGCAATGATACAAGTTGTTTACCGTTCATAGTGTAAAAATATATATCCATTATGTTTTCGCCGTTTGTTATTATTTACAAGCCTTAACTGTCACATTCAATGTGAATGTAGTCTACTTACATGAAAATATCGATCGATAATGGTAGTAACAGACGCTATGAGTGAAGAGCCAATCACAATTCATTACACAAGTACAGAGTGATTCAGTGGCATTGATTGGTCATGTTGCTTAAAATATGGAAAACGAGAGTTTTGACCAGCACTACGCCCATTCATACACATTCATGCAAATATAGATACACATTCAAGCCAGATTAATTGGTTTGATACGGTTACTTGATCCGAATCAAAAGGAATGATCACCGTGTTGTGACAGCAACTACATGTGAGTTGACAGTGTCGCCTCAAATTGGATTGCCCACTAAGTAAGAAAATAAACTTCACTTGTGGTTCTCTTTTATTGCATGCACGCGCTTCTAAGATCAAAGGATGTATAGTGTGAAAAGTTAACTAGAAGAACAATCGTATTTCCGGGACTTGCCGCGGATGTTTTCAAACAGATTATTAGAACTCCATTCAGCGATAAACGGTTGATTATGCAATGAGAAGCGCTATGTGCAAATGAACAACGAACAACAATACAATCACGGCTGTGTAAAACTCTCAGTATTAAAAGTGTACATAAATTTTGGGAGCCATGCAATATCGCGCGTAGTAACCGAGGTAGCGCTTTATCGAAGAGCCCAATAGCGAGGGATCACTGTATTATGTTCTATATGATCATTATAAGAAGCTCACATCAGCATTTGAAGTTACTGAGAGTGCTGGGGCCCTTAAAGGGTTTTCCTATGGTATGTGTTTTAAAGGACCCGTGTATCTTTCAGACTTTCGACATTAGGTTTATGACAAGAGCCCCTTTAATTTGATGATTAATTTCAAACACTGTTACTGTGTACGTGATGTATATACTGTTTGTGGCTTGCAGGCTCTGTATCATGGGAAGTTCATTGATAGCGGCTTCACTATGCCTTTCTACAAGAGGATGTTGAACAAGAAACTCACAGTCAAAGATATTGAATCTGTAGATTCTGAGTTCTACACATCGATCCTGTGGATCAAGTAAGTTTGACTCAGGAAACCTTTCATATTAATGGTTTCAAGGGAGACAACTGCTTTTTCTTATCCCAATTTTCCTATGTCGGGATTTTTTCAAAGTAATGATCTAAACTATTCTTCTCAAAAGTGTTGCTTTTAGGACTGTAACATTAAGGATTTGTTGTGATATGATACATTTTTCTATTGTAAGGTTGTGATCAATGAAAAGTCAAAACTTACCATGAGAGGAGACATATTCCATCAAGAGGAATGAGACCCTATGAATTCATATTAAGTATTTTTCAGCTATTAATGAAAGAGTGGACGCCAAATGTACAGAAAATGGTATTCTACAATAAGTTTCATTCAATTTTGTCGCCCATGACTATGCTTGTATTGTTTTGTATTGATACATGTCCTCATAATACGATAATTGTATCCTAGCAAGGAGTATCATGATGCACCAAATGTGAGGTGAATCGTCAAACCCCTATTGTTATGTAGTAATGTGTTGCCACGTAAGTCCATCTGGCTAACCTTGGACTGTGTTCCTACAGAGACAACAACATTGATGAGTGTGGCCTGGAGCTGTACTTCCAGGCTGACTTTGAAGTACTGGGTAAGATTGAACAGCATGATCTCAAGGAGGGCGGCGGAGACATCAAAGTAACAGAGGAGAACAAGGAGGAGTACATCAAGTAAGCATAAAAACAATTCTTGGAAACAAGTTGACTTGGTTTACTGCATGTCATTCTACCCCAACTTAGTGGATTGTAGCTCTTGTTATCACTAAGATGTGTGGAAATATGGAACTTGTGAAGTTGTCCCTTGACAAGTAAACAGTAAGAATTCACTTGTCCAGATACAAAGTCTTCTGGTCCAGATAGTAGATAAAATAATGGTGTGTTGTCCCCCCAAAATTTGTCCATTTTGACACCGTAGTCAAACAAAAATGGTTTTGGCATCCAGTATAGCTTTTTACAGTAAGTGGGATAAGAGAGTGATTGGCTTCATCAGAGGAGGTATCCTAAAGCATTTAAAGTATGGTCGAATTCAGAGCTGTAAGCAATAGACTGCCATCAGTGGGATTGTTTGGTCATACTCACAATGTTCAGATGTTTTCATAGTTGTATATGGTACAAGTATTTGCTCAAACTTGACTAAATGTCTGGTAAACTTATAGGTTGTCCGCAGAGATCTGAAGCTGATACATTTGTCTGTCCAGTGATCTGGATGAGTGGACATAACGAGTTGGGCATTAATTTTCCACACCCATTTTAATCACTGGTTTGTCTGGTCCATACTATTTACCAGCTAGCGTCATATAGCTGGAATCTTGCAGAGTGCAGTGTTAAACAGTTGATCATTCAAGAGGTTTTTTTAGACGAGAATGTGAGCCAAAGAACTAGATAGTAACCTGATACTCTGCAACTGAGGTATATGTTGTATTTCAGCTTGATGGTGAACTGGCGCTTCACTCGAGGAGTTGAGGAGCAGAGCAAGGCGTTCCTGGAGGGCTTTAACGAGGTGGTGCCTCTGCAATGGTTGCAGTACTTCGATGAGAGGGAGCTGGAGGTCAGTCCTAGTGTCTGGCATTAATAACAGCAGTTGTATCACAGTATTGCTCACAAGCACTAGCACAACAGCAGCATCACAGTACAGCTTACAAGCACTAGCACAACAACAAAGTACGGCTCATGAGCACTAGAGCAACAGCAGTATCACAGTACGGCTTACAAGCACTAGCGAAACAGCAGCATCACAGTATGGCTCACAAGCACTAGCACAAAAGCAGCATCACATTACGTCTCACAAGCACTAGCACAACAGCAGCATCACAGTACAGCTCACAAGCACTAGCACAACAGCATCACAGTACGGCTCACAAGCATGGCTTACACGCACTAGCACAACAGCAGCATCACAGAACAGCTCACAAGCACTAGCACAACAGCATCACAGTACGGCTCACAAGCACTAGAGTAACAGCAGCATCACAGTACGGCTCACAAGCACTAGCACAACAGCATCACAGTACAGCTCACAAATACTAGCACAACAGCATCACGGTACGGCTCACAAGCACTAGCACAACAGCAGCATCACAGTATGGGTCACAAGCACAAGAGCAACAGCATCACAGTACAGCACAACAGTAGCACAGTAGCATTACAGTATTTCTACTGAACACTTACCATAAGAATAGATAAAGTTCATGTGGGGTTTGGCATGCACTGCATAATCAGACACTTAGTGTAAAAGGAAGATGTGGTCCATATGAATAGTGCTATGCTCACATTTAGGATCAGTCTGAATTCTGATGCTGTCTATTGATGATGTATCACATGTGCTGGATATATATTGTGTGTTAACTACTCCTATTAGCAGTGATTAGCTGACGATAATTAACAGAATGAGAACACCATTGCTTGTCATGGTCCTATTTTGTGGCCAGTGTGAAATTCTTGTACCATATACATGTAACTTTGTGTTTCAGTTGATGCTGTGTGGTATGCAGGAGATTGATGTGGATGACTGGGAACGTAGTACCATTTACAGGCACTACCAGAGAAACAGCAAGCAAATCGTTTGGTTCTGGAAGGTATACAGTCGGGTCTGATGATCCCTTGATAAATTGTTTTATAGGCATCACTTAGAAGTGGATAACTTCATTAATAATGTAAAAAGCGATATTACATTAAGTAATACGTTACCACTTGTTATACCGAGGCTGTTGTCTCCCACAACTGCTCTTATAGCGAAATCTAACACAGAGATCTCAATTACCTCATGCAGCAAGTGCGTAGCCACCTCAGCTGCCATGTGACTCCCCACTCTTGTCTCTTTGCTTGCTCCAGCAAGACGTATATTGACTGCTCTGAAGCTTTCCTGTTTTTCCAACCTTTGGTGATATTTATTACTGTTTATTGACTCATATAAACTGTTTTCGGGGCGTTTTCTGTAACTACGCTTGGAATTTTTTTTCCTGCCCAAAGGAAATTTTTTCCTGCCCTTTCTTCTATATACTTGCGGGGTGTCTCGTATGCACGTTGCGTCTTACGTTCCCCTGTTATAGTATGTCTTGGGGGTTTACATAACCTATTTCTCTATATACTACATAAGTATGTTCTATATTCACAATGCTCGTTCATTTTCTTGTGAAAATGTCCGTTTGTGAATATTGGTGGTGTGTGTGTTGTAACCATGTTTTACTCTTTGTTCATAGTAAACAATGTCAGACACGAAAGTCTCGCCGTCCTCCACCCCCTCTACCCCTGTGCCGTAAATTCCTCTCTTCTCGGGATCCCCGAGATTGTTGCCCGCGGTGCAGGGCTCCTTGCGGGGACACCCGGTGCGCCCTGTGCGAGGGTCTGGGGCCTGAGGCGTTCGAGCGCTACAGGCTGTACGTGAAGTCTGTTTCCATCCCTGTGGTGGCCGGCTAATCCGGTCGGGATCCCCTTGAGGGTACCACCTCCACGGCTGCGGCGGATCCCTTGGCAGCCCTTCGGCTGTCCAGGGATTCCGTCACAGCGTTACTTTCTCAACTTGTGGACTCCAAGCTGGTGGCCTTATCTCAGGATGGCCGCTGGCTGTTCCGTCCCCAGGCTCATCAGTGGCCGCGGTTTAGGACGTGGGGTCCACCGGTACGGCGACGGCTTCCGTGGTCACTGGTCCTTCCCCTGAACTGTTGCTTCCGCTGTCGGTTAAGGACCGCGTGGCTATGGTATATGACCTCTTTGAGGACATGCCTAAGCCCCTGCCGGTACCGCAGGGAATCCACGGCTCTGTGGGTTCCGCCGAGGTATTCGAGGAGTCGTCCGAAAAGACTTTCCCCGCATCAACCTTGTTGCGCGGGATCAAGCCTTCCTTGGAGAAAGTCTTCGCGGCGGCCTCCGGTCGGGGTCTCCCGTTGCCTCCCCCGTCATGGAGAAAGGATTCATTCCCGGTTCATGACCTTGCCTTTCCCGAGGCTGGTCCTACCGCAGAGGCCCATGTTGAGCGGTTGGGTGTCCGTGGCCCACCGGCTGCTATGGTAACGCAGGCTACCTTGCACCAGCTGGACATCCTCACTCGGCGCTCCATGCTTGCAATGTCTCATGGAGACAGGTACTTGGCTGCAGCAGCCAGTCTGGTCGAAGGTTCTCCCACGGATCGAGACCAGCGCATTTACAACTGCTTGCTCGGTTTAAATGCTTCCCTTGAGTACGTTGCCGGGGCTTCGGCCTTTCTTTCGGCACGTGCCATTTTCTGAGTCACCAAGCGTATCTTGCCGCCTCAGGGTTGGACGCTGCCAACCAGGAAATGCTCCTTTCGCGGCCTTGGTCTGCACGGACCCTTTATAACAACAAGATCCCTGGGGTCCTGAAAGAACAACAGGCTTCTTCGTCTGCCGAAGCCTCTCGGCCAACACTCGATCTTGTTTGGTCCCTGCATAGACGCCTGGGTGCTGCCCCTAAGCGGAGTGCCCCCCAGGATGCTGCGGCCGGCAAGTCTAAGGGGTTGGGTCCTTCTTCTTCCGGGAAGAAGCCCCGCCCTGAGGACTCCGGTAAGGGCAATCAGCAGCCCTTTCGCCAGAAGAAGGGGAACTGGGGGATGTCCTAGCCGTCTAGGTGACTCTCACTGGAGGGGTTCTTATGCCGACAGCATCATCTTCGGTTTGGCCCGTAGGCGAACCTGAGTCACTCGGCCCTGGACAGTTGCGCCTGCCACAGCCTGTCAGGCCCCCCTCTCCTTCCCCGGTGGGAGCCAGACTCCAGACTTACTGGGAGAACTGAGAACAAGTTTTCGAATCCGTGGGTGGTACAATCCGGTACTGCTATCGGCTAGATCTCAGTGCGGATCCGCCGCTCACCGTTGCCCCGTTGGAAGGTTTTTATTCGGAAACCAATCTTCCCATCCTGGCCGATGCCATCGGCAGGTTGGTGGAGAAGAGGGCGGTATGGGAGTTAGCCCTACCAGAAATAACACCGGGGTTTTACTCCAGGATATTTCTCGTTCCCAAGAAAGACAGTGCCGAACTCAGAATGATTCACAATCTGAAGTCATTCAACGAGTTTTACCTGCACAAGCCGCCCAAGTTCAGAATGTTGACCTTGGCAGACCTGAAAGCTCTGATCATGCCCGCCGACTGGCTAGCATCGATCGACCTGAAGGATGCTTATCTTAACCGATCCATCCGGACCATCACAAGTATCTCAGGTTTGTCTTTCAAGGCAGGCATTACGAGTGGGTAGCACTCCCATTCGGCCTATCGTCATCTCCCTGGCTGTTCACCCGGTTAACCACCCCCATAGTGGGGTTCCTCCACAAGAGGGGCATCAGGTACTTTGCGTACCGGGACGACTCGCTAGTGGCGAATCGGATGACGGACGTGCTGTCTCGTCAACTCGATTTCGCACTTCGGCACTTGGAGCAATTGGGGTGGATTGTCAATCTCCCCAAGAGCGAGTTAACCCCCTCACAGAACTTGAAGTTCTTTGGAGGTCGGTTCGACACGGTGACTCATCGCCTTTTTGTCCCCCCCAGACCAGTGGCACAAAATTCAGGTGATGATTGCCTAAGTCTTAGCGGTGCAACAGACAGTTCACTTTTGGGATCAGATGTTGGCTACTTGTGTCAGCCCAGGACTGCACCGAACGGGGTCCTCCCAAACACCGCCTGCTGCAACGGTTTCTAATCCAGTTGTTAGCACAGGAGGAGAACAGTGCATCCGTTGCCCTCCCAGATCGGCTCCGACCGCATCTGGAGTGGTGGACGGTCCCTTGCAACGTCTTATCAGGAGTCTCTATGCGGCCCTTACAGGCCACTTTGAACCTGTATACAGACGCCTCTCTAGTGGGTTGGGGCGCCCATCTAGAGGGAGAGGTGAGCTCGGGGCTGTAGTGCGTAGACGAACTAGATCTTCACATCAATTGCCTCGAGTTCAAGGCAGTGATCAATGCAGTCAATCACTGGAAGCATTGTCTTGTCCATGCCTGGCTCATGCTGGCGACCGACAACAGGACGGTAGCGTCTTATGTGAACAAACTGGGGGGAACCCACAGTCACTCGCTACTCGATCTCACATCGAGTTTAACGCTCTGGTGGACAGTATCCCGTGCCAGGTACGCGCCCGTCACATTCCCGGTGTGCGGATCGTACTGGCAGACACTCTGTCGAGGCCTCGGGATCCGAGCCCCATGGAGTGGATGCTCAATCCAGTAGTGTTTCAGTGGCTGTCCGATGGTCGACCTGTTCGCAACCAGGTTCAACAATCAACGCCCGTTGTTTGTATCACCAGGGCCCGAGGGCCATTGATCACGATGCTCTCGCGTTAGACTTGACGGTAATGGACGCTTATGCTTACCTGCCGACGGTGTTAATACCACTCATTCTAAGCCGGCTCCGAGGAGTTCGCTGTCGAATGTTGCTGATCGCGCCCATGTGGCTGAACAGATCGTGGTACCCCGACTTGCTGGCCCAGGTCACGCAGTCGCCACTCCCACTGCCTGTGAGACCGGATCTACCGATCCACCCTCACACCTGTAAACTTCATCCAAACGCAGGGCAGTTCAATCTGCACGCGTGGATGTTGTCACCGAGCGACTGAGGAGTAAAGGTTTTTTCTCGTCGGTCTTCTCGGGCATACATTAGTATGCATCGTGATTCAACCCAGAAGGTGTAAAATGCATGCTAGGCTATTTTCACGAAGTGGAGTTGCAAACATCACATTCATTCGCCAGTGAGGGTATCTGTGCAGGACGTTGCTCGTTTCATGTCTCACTTACGAGAGACCCAGAAACTCTCTGGGGGTTCCATTGCCAACTATGTCTCTTCCGTTGTTACGGTACGGGACGTTGCTATGGGTACCAGTCTCTCAAAAGACCTGGTGATTTGGGGTATTATCAATGGTTTCAAACAGCAAGATCTTAAGAAAGGCCGTCTTCACTTACGGAAGCTCCGTATGAACCCTTGAGTAGTGCATCGTTTCGGCATGTGACTTGAAAAACAGCATTTCTCCGGAGAGAGAATTCACTGTGAGATCACTCAAGGAAATCTTACATCCTGCTGATACTGAGGACAGATCACTGTGTCCGGTTAGGGCCCTTAAGTATTATCTTAAGGCCTCAAATGAACGCAGACAAGGGCGTGACCATCTGTTCATATCGTGTAACCCTAATTGGACTGCTGACATAACTCGCAACTCGATTGCGTTATGGCTTCGTTCTGTCATCAATCTGGCATACCGGTCTCGGGGGATACCGGTTGCCGGGTCAAACCCGCACGAGATCAGGGCGCTAGCAGCAACATTTGCCCTACACTCCAATATCACTGTTCACAGAATATTGAGAGGTTGTTTCTGGCGTTCTGACTTGGTTTTTGCCAATCATTACCTCAGAAAGGTTTCTGATGACGACGTGGAGGGTGTGCACCGTCTTGGGCCGCTGATTGCGGCACAAGCAGTCATCTAAGGGGTGTTTCCTAGCGCAGTTCCAAACTCCTCAGGCTTCAGACTTTTGCACGGTGGTCAATCTGGGTCGACTCCAATGTTCCCACTGCCGTGGGTACAGGAGTAGGGGTCCCGCAAACCAGCGCACTCACACCACAGGTGAGGGCGGCTTTTTGTGTGTTTTGTCCTTATTTGTATTTTGACAATTATGTATTTAATTGTCTGTCGTGTATTCCAACCTTGTGATGCATGCTTACAAATACTGGAATTAGGTCACGCACCTAATGCACACTTGAAGTAGGCTTGCTCTGGGATATATGGTCCGAATGAAATTGATTTCCCTCTTTCCGACTGTTTAACCTGATCTAAGATTTAGCTCACACTGATACTGTGTTCTCCTCCGCTGCGGCGATGAAATACCTATCCAGTGGGGCCGTTTGGAGTCACCAATTGATTGGCAAAGACGATTGAGCCTTATGGTATGCGCTTCAGGGTGCTTTGGTATTCCTATAGGGTAACGCCAAGCTGGGAGCATGCGCATCGTGTGCTTCCGCCTTGTTGTTTACTTCCGCTGGTCGGAAGGAACACGAGCAGTCAGGTTCGGGTTGTAGGCTCCCCACCGCCTACTGTGGTAATCAGCCTCGGTATAACAAGTGGTAACGTCTTACTTAATGTAATTTGTAGAATATTCCTATTCGGAATATTCTATAGTAATACGTTACCACTTTGGCTGATGCCCCCCCGACCATGTGAAGGGTGTCACATGGCAGCTGAGGTGGCTACGCACGTGCTGCATGAGGTAATTGAGATCTCTGTGGTAGATTTCGCTATAAGAGCAGTTGAGGGAGACAACAGCCTCGGTATAACAAGTGGTAACGTATTACTATAGAATATTCCGAATAGGAAAATTCTACAAGCTTCGGTATAGAGCCTTATACCGTTGTCAAGCAAGACTGAATGCTTGACAACGGTATAAGGATCTATACCGAAACGTCGCCTTTTACAGTATTAAAGAAGTTGTTATCCATAAAATTGTGTCTATCAAGACTGAATGAGGGACATAGTACAGAATATATATAGTAGGTGGAGGATTAACAGTAACAATTTCATACATGAGTGGGATAACATAGGTAGGTGTTGACAACAAAGGGATAATAGTGTCACAACATGATAGACAGAACACATAGGTAGAAGCCAATGGGACATGAAGCCAATTAAGCAGGATAGGTGATTATTGCTTGATGAGTTCATAGTAGGTGGATGGGATGAAATAACCTTGATCTCTGTTGATTGATGGCTTGTGGTGGCGAATGTGGACTGCTTCTGTTAGTCTTCTTTTAGTGAAATCATGGAGGTTGTTAGAGAGGATTTGGACGTTGTCCCAGTTGATGTTGTGATTAGGACAGTTGCTGATATGGTCCGAGATCCCTTGATATGTACACAGCGTAACCTTCAATTAGTGATAGCATTGAAAACATCATGTACCTTTAATTTAAATATGGTCCGAAAATCCCACAATAGGTACACAGTGTAACCCTTCAATCAAATCCCACGCTTTTAACACTGTGTGACCATCAGTCAGTGATTTATATGAGTGTAAATTCTTTCTTTCAGTTTGTGCGTGAGATTGACAATGAGAAGAGAACGCGTCTCCTTCAGTTTGTGACAGGGACCTGTCGACTGCCAGTTGGAGGATTTGCAGAACTCATGGGTAATACTTTACTACATCAAAATTGTTTTCTATTCAGTGGCTTTGACCAAGAAATTCTTCTGATTTGTACAGTTTCAGAAAAATGTTTACCATTCTCTCTGTTCCTAAAATTGACATTCTGTAGCCAGCCTCTTTGTTAGGTGTGCACAGTGATTCAGATTGGTGTCATCTGTCAGTCACCTGTAAAGTATCTAAATGACAGATACATTTATTTCATGTAACTGTTTATAAAAAAATGAATGTCCTTGAAACAGTTGTTTGAATTTGCTACATGTGGCATCTGTTGGAAGAGATAATTTTGAGTATTATTAGTGGCTAGTTGACCTGCTGTAATGTCTAAAATATGAACAAGAAAGGACAATACACAACTCTGAGTTTGTGTGAAAGTATCACTCTGTGGACTATAGTTGACATCTTTTTTTTATCAATTCCATCTAAATTGTACCCCACATACAATCTCATTAAAATCAAATCTTAGTTCTTTCTGAAAAAAGATCTGAGGACATCCCATTACGTGTCATGTCAGAACGACGTTTCATCCGACCAATTAAAGCATTGCTTACCAATTAAGGAAAGTGACAATCGGAATGTGTTTTCTAATCATGCAACCTTGAAAATTTTAACATGGGGATATTCCGAACTACAGTTACGGGCTGTTTGATTGGCATTTTCCAGTAACAGACTGAACAACTGATTCCGTCAAAATTATTGTCTTTCTCTTGCTTCAATGGGATGAACATTTGAACGGAAGACACTTTGCATATTTCGTTAGAAGTACTGCCATACAGTTTCTGCCTTCTATTGTACATTCCTGAACATTCTTTTGTTCAAATTTTGAATGGTGAACGTAGTCTAAATTTGTAGTCACCAGTTTATTGAAGTCATTTCATTGGTGGGTCAAAGTTCACAATTGGTCTTTCTGTCTTGACCTGTAATGGGATGTCTTCATATCCTTTTTAGCGGTAGTGAGAACTTAGATCTGACTTTAATGAGTTTTAATTTTCAGCAACATAGTCAGAAAATTTACGGCTTACAAATAAAGAAAGCCACAATTATGATCGAAACTCAAGCCTTATGAAGCTGAGAATTCATGGATATGCACAGGATGGCCATTTCTATCTGCTGTATGTCTATTTGATACTCAAAATGAGACTGATCTATTCAAGCTACATGTATTTACCAACTGATTATGACTGTCTGAAATATTAGGGCAAAACAAAATGTCAACATAAATTTCCTCATAGGTTCTTGTTTTATAGATTGATGGAAAAGTATTGTTGCTTCCATTTAAATTTGAATATTCTGATTGTCATTTTAGGGAGCAATGGACCTCAGAGATTCTGTATAGAGAAGGTTGGCAAAGAGACATGGCTGCCAAGGAGTCACACATGTTTCAACAGACTTGACCTCCCACCATACCGTAGCTACGAACAACTTGTAGAGAAACTCAACTATGCCATTGAAGAAACAGAAGGCTTTGGCCAGGAATAATGAAAGGCATTTCCTAGATGTCACATCTTTTCTATGTACAAAGACAAATATGTCAAGATAGTATGACATCTGTAATCTGACGTTGATGACGCAGACTGAGATGATGATAATCTGTATATTACAGCTGGAACTTGTGATTTAACCCTGGGACTGTACCAGAGATTGTATATACACTGACATTCTTATCAGTGGATGTATATAGAAGTGATCCCTGGGAACAACAGGGGTTTAGACTTACACCATTTCTTTGAGCATCTTAACCTTTCAGTGATGGATGCCATGGATGCCTGGGAAGGATTGGACACTCTGTGGAAGTTGAAACAAGCTCCTCACAGCGATAGCCTGTTTGCAGAGCTCTCTATACTATCGCTGCCACCAGTCAAAGCTCCCCACTGTGATAGGTGGCCTTTTGGAGTTGAACTTGCAACCGACTGACTGTTATGTTTACAATCAAGTGATGACTCCCTTGAAGCTGAATACTCTTACCCCTGCTAAATTAATTTCTTTGTTTGTCAATTTGAATTTCATTTCAACTACCATGTAAGAATGTAAGGGGGGAAAATTGGTTGATTTTCCTTTTGTCTACAATCTCAAACCAATCTGATCAAACAAACAAAAAGGTAAATTCATCTGTGAAATCTGGTCAGTCGTAAACCTTTTCAAAATTCACTATGATGGCATTCCCAAAGATATAAGCAAAATTATAAACGTGACTACATTTGGGGTTAGAGGGCAAATTTCAAGATTCTTGTACTGGCTACTTGCACACTGACGGCAGTGATGTTACTGAGTTTGTAACGAAGGTGTCACACGTGGGAAGGAGCTGTCTGATGAAAGGGTGAAGGGAGATAACTCTAAGAGTACACATCAAAGAAGGGTTAAGCTATTCATTACTCTGGTAGGATTTAATGATGTTGCCCAAGTTGTAAGCTATTCCTGAGTCTTGCTTGAGTTTGCTAAATGCAGTTTATGAGAACATTTCATATTGTATCTATATTATACAATGTTATATAAACGGTTTGTGTTAATTACCTTTCAGGCAGTGTTACTAATTTATTATGTAAATATTACTAACAGAGCTGAATTTGTGGATAGCTTGCATCAAGTCCATAATAATATGCAGAAATGATGTGAGCTACTAGGATGTAACTTATTGATATCAACACAGATGTGATGTTTAAACAATGAATTTGTAGACCATCTTCAGTATGATTGACAAGTTCCTGTCGTGTTTAGGCTTGGTATTAGATGTCACTTGGCAGTGATAGTCATGAATATGATTGTCAGTAAACCAGAGATATCTGAAATCTGTTGTATGTTTTCTTACTATTTATTTTTGATTAATGTTTTGGTTTTTTTGTTATGTTCAATTAATGACGACTGTTGGTTTGGTATTTCTGTATCTGTATATTATAATCTGAAGAAAATGTCCCTTTGAATCTGGGAACAAAATATTCGTATTATGAGTGGTATCATGCCTATTGTGTGGCAGTGATGCTTTGTCGCTAGGAGAAAAAGCAGAATCTGCACTTACTTGGGATTACAAACTAAACACCAGAGCATCGGTTCATGCAAAGAGGAGAAACCAACTTTTTCTGTTGGGCATATTTGTGGTTATTATTGATACTCAGTGCATGCATCATTTTACTGTGATTTATCCTGTTTATTTATTGTGATTCTGTTGATAATTGTTCTCCTTTCTTTTTCAAATTTTCACCAACAATCAACAATCATTTTGGTAAATTCAGGGCTTTGAGAGATAAATTAGAGGAATGCATTTTCTTATTGTGATGACATTTATGATATCTGCACAACAACCAGTGTATAACGATATCAGCAAAGGATTACATATTACCTGCTTTCCCTATTGCCCAGTTGAAATGAGGAGTCACTGAACGACATGCCTCATTCTAGAGTGACCTTCACCTTAGTACCAGTATGTACAGTCTTATATGTACTATAGCTTGTATACAGGATTGTATTGTATAAAAGTCAAATGTCTTTTTCTATATTTTTTATTGATTTCATGTATGTTACTACAATAACACTGGGTGTTTTGTTGCTCATGCAATAAACATGAATGCTAATCAGTTTTGTATGAAACCGTATAGAAGTAGATCCTGAAATCATCGGATTATACAGAATAGAGTAACTTTTTTTCTGCTGTCCAAATGTATAAAAATGAACATTTGAACCTTATAAATGTAAATAATATATTAAAACAAAACAAAATCAGAAGATTTATCAATGCTGGTGTATTCACAGGGAACAAGAAATTGAGACTGAAAAATCTCTCATTATAATAAAAGATTACATGAAAGTGTCACCCTGTCTTGCCAGTTGCGATTCTGTAAATACTTGCACGTTCTGAAATTATCATGTTGTGGATGTCAGACCTATGCCTGTTATGCAGTTGGTAATCTACGACACTAGTTACTATCTCATACTAAGTTTATTTTTCTCATTGCTACGAGGCATGGTGTTGCTCTCTACTGATGATTCTATACTGGAAGTCCTGTACACTGTCATGTCTTATAAGATTGGAGTTGTAGAGAAGCATCACATCAATGTGACGTTGGTTTGAGTGGCTGGGTGATGGGTAACCCAGTGTGTGATTGGTTTGGCCAGACTCAGGTTTTTTGGCTGTTGTTATCCAATCTCCACACCCGTTCCTGCTCTGTATCAGGTTTTCCATTTATCACAATTGGGGCTACATACAGTCCCATAAGAAATGTTTACCGATGTCCATTGTAGGATTTACAACACACTTCTAAATCTTCGATAGGCTACAAATCATGAAATACAGACATACACTGTTGTATCGAAGTTGACGGAACCTACGTAATTACTTCGAGTTACCCGAGGCTCAACACAACCAAAATGATGAATAAAGAAGGAATATGCAGGGACCATATTTACTTCGAGACAAGTGTCAGTTTGACACATCAAAGTTGACACAACAGTGTTTAACTGTATGTTTAGGATCTATATACCATTCTCATCCTTTAGCACTAAACATTGACTGGTACAGGTTTAGGAAAACAATCTGGACTTTTCTTATGGGACCATCTGTAGCCTCCAGTAGTTACAAATAGAACACTGATATTAAACAAGGAATGTATGAGGGGATACGGTAAATGTAGCCAGCTAGGGTCATGTCTGCCTTCTCACATGTTGAGCCTTATCACTTATTTGAGATCTCAGATGTTTTGAAGACTCAAATGTGATACTGCATCACAAACAGCATATGGTCTTATTTGAGAAATTAGACTTGAAAACTTATGAGACATCCCCTGAATGTCATATTGCTGGTTCAATGTGATAATTGGGTAAATAATTCATGCCAATAACTCATTTAGCCAATTTAGTCCGAACAAAAGTGGTTGATGATACAGATTTACTTACGAACTACTTCAGGACTTTGGACAAGATATGCTCATGTTTGAGGTATAACAGAATGCTTTCGGGAAGTTGTCGGGTCCTGTGTGTGTCCCCTGCGATTCAACTTTTGGTATTATGGTTTGAACTGTTTGGCTCGTACTTCATGTTACAGTCTTGGGAATGGTTGCAACTACATGTTCACACACTTTAGTAGCTCTACAGTCTATGCATGATTCCATCATAACATGGTAATCCCACACTTACCACTGTGTTCATGGTTATTTGCCTAAGTTATTATACCGAATAGTCCTTCCTTTGTGAAAAGTAATAAGCTTTCTCCATACACTCATGCTTCTTTTTTATACACTATACCATATGTTGCAATAAACCAAAGACAAGTTTCCTTTGTTCCAGAGTCTGCACGATGATATGGGTGTATATTTCTGAATTGTCTTTCTCTGTACTGTATATTGGTCTCCTTCACACTAGCTGATATTGTCTTTTGTTATATTGGTGGTAGAACTTCATTCATTTAGACGTCTGATTGAATAAACTATACTGAAGAAAACTTTGAGATTAGCATGTATTTTAACAGAACATTACCAACAGTCACCCTTTTCTAAAATGTTCTGTGAACCTTGAAAGTAATCACATGTGGTTGTGCAGTACAGCATTGTTTTCTTGTTGGTTCACACCAAGGACACGCTAATGATTCAAATACCTGGGCATGATATTATTCTATGAGATTTCTTTGGATGTCCTGACTAACAGAAAATGTGTAAATTATATCATATCATGTGGGTGTATTTTATTCATATCATTAATAAGATAATTTACTTGAATGTTCTTCAAACATGCTGTATACTGGTCAGCGATACAGTATAAGGAATATAAATGTCCTTCGTTTCCTGTGTTCCACTTGTCAGAAACATACATAACAACTGGCAACATAACAAATTGGGTTCTATGAATGCCATTGAACTCTGCAGATAGTTTGTACAGTTGTCTTTAATCTAATTAAGGCCATACCATTTGCTTCCTTGTTGTATGGATGAATGTATCGTAACTGATCAAAAATGAAATAGACAATAGGAATTGTATATTAACTTTTGGTTCAAGACCGAGTTTTGTGAAGATAAGACGTCATCATTTTCTAAGTTAGCATAAAACTGATCCTTTGTATATTTTGTGTTTGTTTTGGCTGTTGGCAAATCTACAAAATCAAATAATTAAATTGGTCTTGCACAATGCAAAAATTCACCAGTACATGACAAAACAGCTATAAGTCACATTTTATGCTGTTTCTTTTAGAATTTTATTTTAGTATATTTCTAAGTGAGCGCTTCAGTCATAGTCCATCAGTTTTTTCATGCAGATGGAGTGGTGTGTAGTGGTACATTAATTTTTAATTGTCCAGTCATTGGTTATTTTATCAAATGTAAATACATGTTTATCTTGTAAATTTTGTTCTGGCTTAACCAGATTACGACTACAGATAAAATTAATCAAATCTCTCCGTAACCTTATTCCTATTTTGTATCATATCAAAGCATTATAGTTGTTTATGTGTTTCATTGTGATTTTGTTTCCAAGTATACAAGTGTGAGTCATTGCATATTCCTATCTATGCACATCAGATTATTCAGTTCACAAGAAATGACACAAGATGACTTAAAATATCTTGTGTCTGAAAGAAAATGTCTAAAATCTCCAGCAAAATGTTTGATTTTATATTTGAATTTCTGATTGCATATCAGAAAGTCCTAGCTTGTGTCGATGTTTCTGTTAGGTCTCGTTTCACACAATGTAATATAGGTAAAGATTATGATATATGTAATCTTGATATGTAACTAATGTACATATTAAATCAGGAACTCCCTGTGACGTGCACACTCTGCAGGTAATACTGGTATGTATTGAGTGTGTACTAGGAAACTGTCAACACTTGTTGAAGCCTATGTTAAGCAGACACCAACAATGTCTGGTGTACAGATTTCAGCCCTGTCAAAGTTGATTTTGAAATTGTAACCCTACTTTAATTATTTTGGAATCAATTGTGCTGTGAATAAACTGTTGGCTGAATAGACTTTGCTTTATAGTTTGTTTTATTGACTGGATTAATGCATGTTCCTAAAGTTTGTCAATTTTCCAAAGGTCACAGACCGATGCTTATTTTACTGACTGGTCACAGCAAAACAATTTGCTCAGATTTTTGGTGTCCCCGACCACATGGTTGGTATCTGCTAACAACAGCATAAAACTATACTTCCTCTCTCAGTCAATTTCCCACATCTCAGTGTAGGATCACGTTGCCAGGTGGGTTGAGATGAGGTTCCACGTAAGATATAAGTACTCCGCAAATATTAGGGAGGTACGCTCACGGATGCAATGAATCTTTCAAAGACAGAGACCAAAAAGCATGGTATTAAACTAATTATTCCATGCTGGATAATAGTTCAACAATATTGGGATTGTTTTCTTAAAGGCATTTTCTCTATCAAACGTTAGATTTTGAATACTGTCTCCTATTTAGACTTTAAGTTTTATTGATATCCTTTACTCCAAGAATGATGGGCATTGAAATCACAATCTGGTACCAATGCTACGTTGTTCACACAAATAAGAAGACCTCTAGGAAAAGAAGGTCTGTAAATAATCGAGTTTGGACCAGACAATCCAGTGATTGACATCATGAGCATAGATCTACACAACTTAGATACGATGACATGCATCAACTAAGTCAGCAGGCCTGACTACCCGATCCCATTTGTTGCCTCTTATGACAAGCATAGTCACCTCTTACATGAAGCATGGGTTGCTAAAGACCTATTCTAACCCAAATCTTCATGGGTGGATGAGACTATGAAAGGAACAAGACCTTGAACATCTGGTAAAAGGTGATCTTTACAAACTAACATCTCTCAACCTTGCACCAAATTTGACAAGAACATACATACGTATATAAATACATAGATCACATGTTCCCACACTTGCCAGCTCAAACTTAAACATGTTAAAGTGTTGGATAGCTATATATATATTAAATATTAACTACAAACATGATTCATTGTATTCACTCATACCACACTGTGCATCACTGATGTATACAATGTGTAATTAAATCCACCAGTCCAATGCCGTGTCTAGTACAAATCTGTCTGGCCAAGTTGAGTTGGTAACCTCTGCTAATAACGGTATATATATATATATCATAACAAATAAAATGTACTAAATATGATGCTAATATAGACATATTAGTGCTATTAGATTCAACAGTTTTTTTGTCACTGAGTGTGTACACATATGTGTTATATATCATTTATCATTTATCATTTGCACAGTACATGCACGCTTGTAAATGTGAAACATTATATCCACCACTGCAGTTGCGTTAACTTCTGTAACAACCTATTGAGAAAATTAATATCGAAAAGACATAGTTATTATGGATGTATTAATATGTTCACAGCATCGGCAGAAAAATGTCATTTTCAATTTGATACATGAAGCTAATTAATGTCACTGCAGACGACTATTTCCGGAAATACTACTGTTATAAATGCGCATGTCGGGTGAGCGAGTTGACATGTCGTACACCTGTAAGAATCATGACAACACACATGTTTATTGTCAGACATGGCCACACACAAACTACGCAAATCAAACAAATGTGTTCTTTAGTAAAATGCAGTCCATTACTAGCAAGCAGCTCCCATCAATTCCTGCACGGGCATGTTGCGACACGGGTCGCGGAGTAACAAAAGGACGCCAAAATGGCCGTGCTGTGTCGCCACAGAGCTTCACAAAGGTGAAAAAACACAAGTATTCAGGGCAGATAACAGCCAAATATTCCTGCATTTCTCACTTGATCTGGCCCTGATTATCAATTTTACATCTCCCTGCCTCTACCTGGCGGCAGTGTCAGCGGACACCGTCAGCGGACACCGAACCGCACACCTGTTCAGAAAGTGGGTCGTCGGCACACGAGTGAACTAAGAAATATACGGCTAAGAGATTGACATGTCTGGATCAGCCGTGGACGTGTTGTTGTTTTGATAGGTGGACGTGATTGATTTAATGAGTGTTTGTCACAGTCAAGATGCCGCCTAGTAGGCCCTCTAAGGACCGGGATACAAACTCTGCCCGTGTCCTCGCCAACAGATATGAAGTTGTGAAGAAACTGGGCAGTGGGAACTTTGGAACGGCCTTTCTGTGCAAGGATCTGCGCAATAACAATGAACTGTAAGTGGGATTTTATCAGGATTATGACATATTTTATTTTTATTTTTATAACAAATTTCATAATATTGTAAGGATTTAATTTTTACTACATAAAGTACAATTTTTTTTTAATTATGCATGATACACATCATTATGTTCACATTAACCAACTTCATGAGAGAATTTTTAATTTTTTCTTGATTCATAATCTTAAAAAACATGATGTTGTATATGTGAACAGTGTACAATGCCTGTTTGAAGATGTGTCACTTAAATTTGACATTACATCTCTATTTGACATTTTAGTTTTGTATGATCAGACCGCCTCCGTGGTGTAGAGGTAGAGCGTCTGCCTGGGGAGCGGATGGTCCGGGGTTCGATCCCTGGCCGCGTCATACCATAAATGTTAAAAGATGGTACTTGTTGTTACCCTGTTTGGCACTTGGCATTTAGGGGCTAAAACAAGGACTGGTCAGCTCGGAGTCAGTATACTGTTTTTGAGTGGGGTATTTATGTTAAACTGCAGCAATGTATCTCGGGGAGCTAGCACTATAAATCGGCATCAGTCCGGACTAGTACAAGCAGCCACACACACACACACACACGTGCATGCACGTCGCTATATAAGTGCAATAATCTTGGACGTGACGTTAAACCCAATTTCACCTCACCTCACCTTGTATGATCATGATGGTAACTATAAGCAGCTTTTAGTATTATTATCCCTTAAAGAAATATTGTTTATTTTGATGCCAAATATGACATATAACAAAAACTCTTCCAATTCTCATGATTCTTTGCACAAATGTATTTAACCTTCCTGCGAAATGTGAACAAAACAAATGGCTGAGTGCCAAACATCTAAGCCACTTGTAAATGGTAGTCTTTGTACCTGACTATGCCTCATTGACTGAATATATCAAAAATACTTTGTAATCAGCAGTTAAGACTGTGATTCTTAATACTTACAGTTCTAAGTATTGTCCAGTGTTAGAAATGAAGGTGGATTCTTGATCATAGTTGAATCAAGACATGATTTGTCTCTTAGTTTTTGTGATTTTTCAATGTGTCTGTACTGTGTACATTGTCTGTACCATGTGTCTGTGCTGTGTACTGTGTCTGTACCATGTGTCTGTACAGCATCTGTACTGTGTATACTGTGTCTGTACTGTGTACCATGTGTCTGTGCTGTGTACTGTGTCTGTACCACGTGTCTGTACTGTGTACAGTGTCTGTACTGTGTACCATGTGTCTGTACCATGTGTCTGTACTGTGTACTGTCTGTACTGTGTACTGTGTACAGTGTCTGTACTGTGTCTGTACTGTGTACCATGTCTGGATCATGTGTCTGTACAGTGTCTGTACTGTGTACTGTGTACAGTGTCTGTACTGTGTACTGTGTCTGTATCACGTGTCCGTACAGTGTCTACTGTGTACAGTGTCTGTACTGTATACTGTGTCTGTATCACGTGTCTGTACAGTGTCTGTACTGTGTACTGTCTGTACTGTGTACCATGTCTGTATCACGTGTCTGTACTGTGTACTGTGTCTGTACTGTGTACCATGTCTGGATCACGTATCTGTACAGTGTCTGTACTGTGTACTGTGTACAGTGTCTGTACTGTGTACTGTGTCTGTATCACGTGTCTGTGCAGTGTCTACTGTGTACTGTGTACAGTGTCTGTACTGTATACTGTGTCTGTACTGTGTACCATGTCTGGATCACGTGTCTGTACAGTGTCTACTGTGTACTGTGTACAGTGTCTGTACTGTGTACTGTGTCTGTACTGTGTACCATGTCTGGATCACGTGTCTGTACAGTGTCTGTACTGTGTACTGTGTCTGTACTGTGTACCATGTCTGGATCACGTGTCTGTACAGTGTCTGTACTGTGTACTGTGTCTGTACTGTGTACTGTGTCTGTATCATGTCTCTGTACAGTGTCTGTACTGTGTACTGTGTCTGTACTGTGTACCATGTCTGGATCACGTATCTGTACAGTGTCTGTACTGTGTACTGTGTACTGTGTACAGTGTCTGTACTGTGTACCATGTCTGTATCACGTGTCTGTACTGTGTACTGTCTGTACTGTGTACCATGTCTGTATCACGTGTCTGTACAGTGTCTGTACTGTGTACTGTGTCTGTACTGTGTCCCATGTGTCTGAACCACGTGTCTGTACAGTGTCTGTAGTGTGTACCATGTGTCTGAACCACGTGTCTGTACAGTGTCTGTAGTGTGTACCAGGTGTCTGAACCACGTGTCTGTACAGTGTACTGTGTCTGTACTGTGTACCATGTGTCTGTACAGTGTCTTTACTCTGTACTGTGTATCACGTGTCTGTACAGTGTCCCTACTGTGTACCATGTGTCTGAACCACATGTCTGTACAGTGTCTGTACTGTGTCTGTTCTGTGTTCAAAAAGTGTACCATGTGTGTGTACCATGTGTCTGTACTGTGTCTGTACTGTGTCTCTGTTTGTGCAGGAAAGTGTTTTAGGAGATCTCGGTGGGAGATCTGCAGCCAGATGAGACGGTGGATGCATGTGTGTACCATGTGTGTGTACCCAGTGTCTGTACTGTGTCTGTACTGTGTCTGTACTGTGTCTCTGTTTGTGCAGGAAAGTGTTGAAGGAGATCTCGGTGGGGGATTTGCAGCCGGATGAGACGGTGGACGCCATGCATGAGGCTCGACTGCTGTCCAAGCTGGACCATCCCAGCATCGTCAAGTTCCACGACAGCTTCATCGACGGGGAGTTCTTCTGCATCATCACGGAATACTGTGATGTGAGTGAGACTGGAAGATAAACAATTGTAGGGAAACCATTTGATGAATACATCAGTTAGATGATATCATCATGCTTATGGTTTTAATGTATAAATAAGAGGTATCTACTCTACAGTGGGACTACGTCAAATTTCAAAACACAGTAGGTTTATCTCCCATCTACCATGACGACAACAGCACTTTGAAAACAATGCTCTCTTGCAATGCATAAAACACAAGATACAAAGGTCTGCTATCTTAGAACATTCTATAAAGTGGTCACAGGTAGTTATATATGTAACAAATACTATATTAGTTCTACATTAAATCACCCATATGCTTGACTAGTTCAAAATAAGTGTTCAAAACACATAGTTTTTCAAAAAGAAGTTGACAAAGAACTCTCCAAACTTGGTCCAAAGATGTATGGTTTAATTTCATCGCAACCTATTGGGCACTGTTTGACTTGTAATAGAGACCAAGCATGTAATAGAGGAAATATCAATACATTTTTCAGTTCCTTTGGGTGATCGATCAGCAGCCATTTTTTATAAATCGATATGTCGGTTATCAATATTTTCATTCACAAGTTTTTTTTGTGAAAAGGCTTTAATATATTTAAAAGGGGTTTCAACCAATCAGAATCATGCATTCTTCAATGTCATTGTAAATTATTATTCTCAATATTCATTTTTGATATGTAGACCTTTTCTTGTATCAGAAATGTTATTTTCAAGACTTATTTGTTTAAACACTGTCCTGTTTCTTAGAAAAAAAAGATGAAGCATGATAAGTCATGAATGTTCATATGCAACTGTACGAAGTGCTTTCCATTTTTGCCTGTTTATAATTGATTGCATTCCTACATTCAATTTCTTTTCTTTTCACCAGGGTGGAGACCTTGACATTAAGATAGGTGATTGTAAGAAGTCCAAGACAACATTTGATGAGAAGAGCATTCTTGATTGGCTGGTGCAGCTGTTGTTGGCGGTGCAGTACATGCACAGTAGACGTGTTCTACATCGGGACCTCAAGACAAGGTCAGTAGCTTCATTCAGTGGTTACTGATGGCTCTGGGGCAACGAGTGGCCAGTCGTCTAAAGTACTGCAATTTGCTGTGCACAGTTGCTTCCCTTGGGCATGCCAGAAACCAGTGACCATTGGTTTGAATCCCAGTTTTTTCATGTACATATGAATAAAGATACACATGATAAAGTACCTACATTTGACTTATCCTGCATTAGATATTGCGCATTGCTCTTACAAACAAAGTTCTAACTGGAAATGAATGACAATCTAGTAGCATCTTCAGTACTCTTTTGTCAAACATGACCTCCGTGACATCCAGTGTTTGCCTCCGCAGACTCGAGTATTCAGCTTTTTCTACGCGTGGTATTTGGCACGAATGTTTCATGTCACCGAGACCCATATTTGATATGAATGTTTGTCACTTTTGTTATGGTTTTCCTTCATATTATCGTTTAATTAAGCTTATTTGCCAAGTGAAATATATTTTTACTTGCTCAATGCTTTTGACTGTGATTCCACAGCACAGTTTAAATGGCTAGACTCGAGCTGGCTTTTATGATGTTTATTGGGTTTCGCCTGTATTCCCAGTCTACCGATGTTTGCTGCCAGATCAATTTCTGTAAAGGCAAGAATTGGAGAAGGACCCTTATGTACGCTGACCAGATTGCCAGACTCAGTGTATCCCATCCAGCAAATGTCCTCCCGTTTGCGTCTATCTTTCTGACTCAGACTTCCTTACTTATCTCAGAGTAGTGAACAAAAGGAAACAACAATAGGCCTGTTGCAGGATGTCTGACCTTTCCTCTGCTGCTTCATTGCCTCGAAATGATAGCATGGTCAAGCCCAAGACTGAGACTCCCAAGTCCGACAAGTAGTGACGCTTCCAGTGAGGCCTCAAGTTGAGGCGCTTCCTTGTTCGAGTGCGCAGTATTCGCCTCCCGCTTGGGCGCTTGACATCATCGGAAAATGAGGTAGTAGCACAGTCACTCCCGTCAGGCACTCACTTGGATCCTATAGATCATCGCCTCAAAGCACCTCAACCTCAAGGCAGCGGTCAGGGGGTAATCCCTTTCTACTTCACGTCAGGAGAGTGAACTATCTTCGGATCTAGACTATGACAAAGAGGAACCTGATGGTTCCTCAGTTTTTCAGAAGTCGTACCATGGATAGCTGGTTTTCTGGTCAGCTGCATCACTCCAGGGTGCAGACCCCAGAAGGCTTGTCACGAGGGTGGGTGCCTGGAGTCCATTACTCTGCCACCATATGCATTCATTCAAGAGGCAAAGATTTCTTGGGGTTAAACAGTCATTCCACTTCCGACCACCTAAGCATGCCAAGAAGCAACCGGTACATGGCCAGGCATATGCGGAAAGTCGCCAAAGACTTGTCTAGAAGGACTGGCTCCTCCTGAGTTGGATCCTCCAAGATCACAGATCCCCAGATCTCATTCCTAGATGGGGAATTATGGAAGACACTTACCCACCTGTCGGCTTTGACATCATCCTTAGCAGCCATGGACGCGCGTTTGGGTGAATACCCTACTGATGAGAAACAGCAATTCCAGCCTGTACTGTCCTGGCAGCTGAAGCACTTGGGGACCCTGAGGACCACATTCTTCACACATTGGCATCACCGACTTTAGTAAGTAGATAGGGCCTCCAAGTGTTAAAGCAATATGGTTCCACCAACTATGGACATCGTCAACTCCCTTTAACAACGCGATAGTCCCAGTGGATGAGCAAGTGGAGAGAACAGAGGACAGACGAGCTGTTTGAGAGGAGGGCAACAGGAATACTCCCCAGAAGGCAGACACGACTGGGACCTTCCCAACCACACCCAACCCAGCCGTTACTGTCCATGCCTCACCAGTAGGGAGAAGACTGCCTCAATTTTGGCAGAACTGGACTCTCCTTGGGGACTTGTTTGTATTAAATATATTAAAAATATATTAAATTTTCCTCCGCCAGCATCAACAATTGCTGGAAAAGAAGGCCATAGAGGAACTGGACCAACAAGAGCTAACCCTAGAGTTCTACTACCCAGTGTTTTTAGTCCCCAAGAAGTATCAACAAAGCTTCGCATAATTCACAACATGAAGGTGTTCAACCAGTGCTATTTTTATTTACAACCTGCACCATAAAGAATGACCATGCTGCCGCTGCTGCACGTTGGCTAGTCCAGATGACCACTTCCTATCACTGGATTTCCAAGACGCCTACCTCCACATCCGATCCACCTGGCGTGCAGGAAGTACCTGAGATTCATTGTTAACAGCCGCCACTACCAATCGGCCGTTCTTCCATTTGGAATTTCAATGGCCCCATGGTTATTCACACATATTACGAAGCCGATAGTCTCCCACCTACACCTGAGGGGGATCGGCTTCATGTCATACAAAGACGACTGCCTCATGAATCCCCAAGAGAGGCAACTACATCTGTAATTTACGATGCGCCTGCTTCACCAACTGAGTTGGCTCATCAACGCCAAGAAATCTTTGATACCACCAACGGCCTCTCAGACTGATGGGACAAGATAGTCGCATTTGTCCCTCTAGCTCTGGCAGGCCCCCAATCAGTCCACCAGTGGCAAGTTCTACTAAGCCTTGTCACATCAGCACAAGACCTCACAGGCAGGGGACGGCTCAACGGCAGACCGCTACAACTGTTTGTGGCACCTTACATAAGGAGCTAGCAATTACAGAGCCTAGTTACGTTGCCAAACCATCTACACCAATACCACCACTGGTGGTTGGTCGAACGCCTTAGAAGACCTCTCCTTGACAGAGTTTAAGGCATCCAATGACCTCTTGTAGACACCTCACTCCAAGGGTGGGGAGTCCACTTTTTAGATCAGGCCGGCAGGGCTCGTGTCTCCAGAACAAACTTAGTGGCTCATCAACAATCTGGAACTAGAAGCCACCACCCTGGCAGTACAACATTGGGCTCACCAATTGATTAACAGCAGGTTGATGATTGCCACGGACAATAAAACGGTTGTCTGGTTTATCAACAAGCAGGGATTAACCCACTTGACCTCCCTTTTGAACCAGACATTCCGTTTTTACCCCCTAATAGATGGGATTCCGTGAGAGCCCAGAGCGAGACACATTCCAGGGTGCGGGAACGTCCTAGCCGATGTGCTATCACCACCGGACCGCCCGTCTCCCAACTGCTATGCATAAACGTCAATGTCTTTGCCACAAGACACAACAAGCAGCTGCTGACGTTCACCAATGCCAGAGCCTCAGTCCTTGGATGTCGGTGCTCTAGCCATAGACTGGGAGGGGTGCCTATGTGTACCCCCAGCTGGCACACCTGCCCAAGGAACCAACAACTTCTTTCTGATTCTTTTGGCACTGCAGTGGCCAGCAAGAAGCTGGTGCCCGGACCTGTGATGCATCGCCAGCCAACCAGCTCCATGGCTGCCAGTGGTCCAGTCTACTGCAGGACCCTCACAGCCACCACCTCCATCTGACCCCAGAGCAGTTCCAACTTGACGCCTAGACCATCCACCAGGGGACAAATGGGCTTCCTTTGAGATCTTCTATAGGCAAAAAGACGTGACACCAAGGGATGCAACGGCACATTTCGTAGCGGACTACTTGCTCCATGTAAGAGTAAAGAAACATCTCAGTGCTGAAGCTGTCCACGATACAGGTTTGAGGTTGGAGGACCAGAAGTTGAAGTTCTGTCCTGAGCCTACATAAGAAGCAGCAAGGCCCCGTTCACTTGTAAAGTTGCCCTTCTGGCTAAGAGCCACAAACCTACAGGCCTATGACGCAGCAGGATTGGAGCACCCCAGGGCCAGCAACCCCCACAAGATCCGGGCTCTGGCTTCAACCACTGCTCTTCACTGAAATCCTATTTTTGCAGGGATGCTTCTGGATGGGTGCTTCTGGAGCTCTAGCACTGTATTAGCGAGCCATTACCTCCATGATGTGTCCCTGGAAGACCAGGATGGCATACATGGTTTTTGGCCCTTGGTGGTGGTTCAGCAGATTGTCAGCCACAAGAAATGTCGGTAGCCTGCAATGCAGCCTACCCTCATGCCCCTTTGGTCAGACCATTCCCAGGTTTGAGGAGGGGAGGAGTTGTAGTAAGCATTCCCAGCTTATCTAAACTCTTATCTAAACTCCCATTTACTAGGTTCGCCATTACAGCACGAAGAGTAGCAGAGACTCACCACCTCTGGCAAGCCCAACGTCGCTATATAAGTGCAATACTCTTGGACGCGACGTTAAACCCCATTTCACCTCACCTCTGGCAAGCCCAACCTACATGACTACTCTACGGGATGCCATGACACGTGACAGCTATCCTAGCACTGGACTCAAGGTATGCAGCACCACTTACCATCGGATAAAGTGCAATATGTAATGCAGGATAAGTTAAAAATGTTACTTAATCCGAGTATTATGTGTATTTTATACTTATCCCGCATTACCCAATGGCCCTCCTCTCAGTGACGTCTTCCTCCCCGCTGTACCATCAGTCCTGAGGGAAGTATGTGAAGACAATAATGACATGTAAGGCATGTGTCTTCTGACACTGGGTGTAACGGAGGTCACGGAGGTCATGTTGTTCGGATGTAACGGAGGTCATGTTGTTCAAAAGTGAGTGAGTGAGTGAGTGTATTTTGCTGAAATTTCTTGCATTTATCTATATTGTGTTGATTCTGTCTGTTTCAGGAATATATTCATTAGAAACAACATGGTAAAGATTGGCGACTTTGGCATTTCTCGTATATTGATGGGCACCACCGACATGGCGTCCACGTTCACAGGCACGCCTTATTACATGAGCCCAGAAGTACTCAAACATGAAGGCTACAATTCCAAGTCGGATGTATGGTGAGACCACAAACAGAACAGGGACCAGCCATGAAATATTCTGAGAGGGAAGCTCTACTTCAAGTTATGCCATTCATTTCTTGGAAAGAAGGAACTGAATATTTTGGGGGTCCAATATTTAAAAAAGAATAATTCCAGTCCCTCCCAGAGTGTGAAATGGTCAGTCCCTAAGAACATTTGACATACAGATATTGTGTATTAGTGTATTATTATTAAAGTGTCACAATTTAAACATATTACCATATGAATCTGATAATCATCTGTTCAGGATCATTATTAATCAGCATGTAGCCAAGATTAGACAGTCATGACCACCGTATATTAGTAGCTGTAATCTTAGACTTTGTGTCAACTTTCTCTGCCAGTGTGCAGCACTAACACCATCTCCCTGGGGCAAGGGAGTTATCTGACTGTAAAAGTCTAATTTCCACCCTTGCCGAACTAGGCAGGAATTGTGGAGTTTTATTTTGGCTGAACTATCAAAATCGCGGAACGAAATGGACATTGGCTTAAAAAAAAATTGGTGACTGCTGTGCAGATTTCGGTCAATTGCAGGATTTGCAGAGCATGTGTACTGTCAACTGGGTGTTGACAGATGTTATTCAACTGTTTTCATGTCCTAATGAAAGTGCTCAAGTGATTTTATGTACTTCATGAGGTAAGACCCATTTTATTCCAATAAAGATCTTGATTATCAATCAGATCGTCTGGACTGGGCCCCGCCACTTTGTTTGTAGAATAGCAAGTGAAAGGAGAGATGGAATCTGATTTGTCATTAGGAGGAACATAGAAGCGACATAACTTGTAAATGCCACAATGCGCTACCATCGAGCCACGGATTTCCCGCCTTTAATAGTCAGTTTATTCCCTTGCCTTGTTAAGATGCACTAACACTACCATGCATTTGTTTGCCTGGTTCAGAATATAGCTACAACAGTGCAGCAGTATTAAGCAAGATTTCTGTCGCTCTCTTCCATTATTTGGGGGCAGGAGTCATGGCTCACATGTCCAATCTTAGTTTAGAGTTGCATCCCTTAGGCATCCCATCAACCTCAGATCATGGGTTTGTATTCCGGTTCGCCCTGATTATACATTTCTAGCTTTGTCAGCACCATGTCTGCGGTTGTAGGTTTCACCAAGGTGATAAACGTCTTAACACCAGCGTCACGACAGGCGTTCCTTCCACATCAAGCTGACACACCATGATATAACTGGAAATTATTAAACTTATCCTGTCTCACACTATGCATCTCTTCTTTCTTCTTCGATCTTATGTAGAAACGAGCTTGAACAAGGTTTCCAGTTTCTAAAAAAACAGTTCTTCCAAACACATCCCAGCTTCCTTACGGTCACTACCCAAATACATAAGTACTCCCGTGCATAGCGATCTACTCGACCTAATCATGTGATTAACCTGCCACATCATTCTCTTTTTCATCGCCACTCAGTGGAGATGTGTGTTTGAATATTTAGAGAATACAGTTTTGATTTTTGACCGGGTTCCCCTCTAAATCGTCTTGAATGTGCTTCAAGTTAAGGATAAGATGAGCAATGACCTTGCTCCTCACCCTGTTTGTCAGGAGTTCAGTACAACTTTTTCTGCCTCTGACCTTCATGAGACTTGCTGTGTCTGGCAGGGACGATGCCGTTTCTTCAAGCTTTGTTCTGAGTGTGATGACATGACATGCTTGGTAGCCATCCTGGACGATTCCTTCGTCTCGCTCGCTGACTGCGGATCCACCAATGACGTTCACACCGCATCACCAACTGTATCCTGATAGCCAGTTTCCAATCCTCCAGGAGACCATTGTTAGGTTGCTCTCAAAACATCCTATAGAATGTTTCAGTCTGGTTACTGCGACCCCTGGGTTCTACTTTTTTCAATTTTTCTCGTGCCCAGGAATGACAGCTTCAAACTTCGGCTAACTTCCAAAATGAAGGCATTCAACGCGTTATACGTCAATTGCGCTTCTTCGTAAATCCCCGGCTGCGTTCGATCCCCAAAAGACGTTAAACTAATGTCTGACTAACGTATCAGGATCGTATCTCCAGCCTTGATGTGTTTTTCCCTCTCATAAGTTATTGTCCATAAGACAGTGTTTTAGATATTTTGTTAAATTCATTGTTTAGCACCAGCTTCCCCGTGTATGGCTCCCGGTTGTAGTCTATTACAGGCAGGGTATCTGAGCCCCTCCATCCCACCGTTGTATAAGTGCATAGTGTAAGATAGGATAAGTTGTATATTTCTATACTTATCTTATCTCACACATTATATGCCCTCCCAACCATCCCCGCATCACAACTGTTGAGTAGTCGTAAGGCAAACACTATATTGTTAGTTCATGCGCAGTAGGGATCCGAAATTGACATCCGGCAAGAGCACATGGCAACAGACAAATATGTTGAACTATCACTTCAATGTCATGTTGTGACTGGGATATGGTCACGTCAACAACAACTCTAGCCTGTTAACTCTGATGAAAGAGAATGCTGTGGCAGGGGAAATCATGTGATTAAGTTGTGTAGGTCACTATGCACAGGAGTATAGTGCATGACCTGTTTGTATGAGTGGTGACCATGGTGATGCTGGGATGTGTTTGGGTGAATTGTTTAGAAACTGAAAACTCTGTTCAAACACGTTTCCACATAGGTTCGAAGAAGAAAGAAGAGATGCATAGTGTGAGATAGGATAAGTATATTAATATGCAATACAATTTCCAATATTGTTCAAAGTGGCATTATACCCAACATACTCACTCTTCCATGTTTACCACAGGTCCATAGGCTGTATACTGTTCGAGCTGTGCGCACTGGAGCATGCATTTAATGGCCAGGGTCTGATGGGAGTCATGTACAAAATAGTGGAAGGAAAACCACCGGATCTGCCAAAGAAGTATTCGCGAGAACTAAATACAGTCTTTCAAAAGTAAGAACCAACTATTTTTGTGTGATGAATTACCTTTTACTTAGACTGGTCCCAGCAACCTTTGCTTCTCATGCAAGGTGACTAAATGGATTGGGTAGTCAGGCTGACTTGCTTGATTGTGTGTGATCATACCCGAATAGTTTGGGATATTGTTCATAATATCAATCACTGTTTTGTCGGGTCCAGACTTGATTTATTACAGGCCACTATGATATAGCTTGAATGTTGCTGAATGCAGCAATAAGCAATAGACAGACAAACAAATCTGACTGATAAGATTGTTTGTGTGAAATTAGTTTCGCATTTAGACAATATTTTCTATAAACGGGTCGACTATGATGTTGAAAATGCAACCTACCTTCAGGAAATTAAATGCATGATTTAATTACTTGATTGTTGTGAAAGTTGTGTGTCTGTTTCAGAATGTTAGTAAAAAATCCTGATGAAAGACCATCAGCATCTGAAGTCGTGAAACTACCTTTCATAGCGAATCACATGACCGTGAGTATTGAAAATATCAACACCTACTCACTGATAAAATCTAAACACTACAGAATCTGCTTTTTTCCTCTTCTTGCAATTTCAAGACACTATTCAAGATGCTATGTTGAAATTTCAAGATACACAAGTTTTCTTGAAATTTCAAGATTATGTGCTACCTTTAGAGTTCTTGTATATAGTGTACATGTTTTTTTAGTTCATTACACTGTGAACAAGTAGCAGTGGTGACAAAATGTCGACTTATCAGACTTGAAGTTCATTATCTTGAAACTTGGTACCTTGAATTTCAAGTTAAAAAGAAAAAAGCAAATGGCTGTAAAAGGCTTAATTTATGACTGACGTAGAACACTCACAAGTAGATGTTCTCTGTTCAGACAGAGCCCTTTGGGGGGAATCCACGGTAGATCAGGTCCCCAGGGGCCATGCTTACTGTAAGAGCTGTGGGGATTAGATGACAGCATGTATGACCTGCCTGGTTTTGTGTCTTTGGCTCTGACAGTGGGGATGTCAGGCACTGGTTTGTCTGGCCCAGGGGCGCAGGTCTGACAAGTCATCATGATGCAGCAACCAGTGAAGATCCGGGTAACAATAGGTCTTCAGCAACCCATGCTTGCTGTAAAAGGTGCCGATGCTTGTAAGAGGCGACTAATGGGATCGGGTGGTCAGGCTCACTGACTTAGTTGATGCATGTCATTGTATCCCAATTGCATGGATCGATGCTCATGATGTCAATCACTGGATTGTCTGGTCCAGACTCGATTATTTTACAGACCGCCGTCATATAGCTGGAATATTGCTGAGTGCGGCAGTAAACAACAAACAAACAAATCATGATGCAACTAGAATACTGCTGAATCAGTAGGTCACAATGCACTCCTAGCATGCCCATATTAGGCATCAAAAATATGTTTAGATTCTGCTTAAATTTAGTATGTTGGAGTAATGCTAATAAAGATGTTTTGTTGCATGAACTTAACTTAAAGGCAATTATTTTTACATGTGATATTAGGTGACTTCAGTTTGATGACTTCACTTATTCAAGATGAGTTGTGTGACTGACTGTAAGATGCTTTTTCAGAAAATGAAGGACACTTTGTCCGACGAGTACAAGATGAAACACTTCAGCAGTCAGCATCATGCAGACAGGGATGCAGAAGAGATTGCTCAGCTGCTGTAAGTCAGAAGGGGTGTGATGGGATAGGCCATCAATGTTGTTTGTTGTTAAACGCTGCACTCAGTAATATTCCAGCTATGTGACAGCGGTCTGTAAATAATCAAATCTTGACCAGACATTCCGGTGATTGACATCATGAGCATGGATCCATGCAGTTGGGATACGATGACATGCATCAACCAAGTAAGCAGGCCTGACCATCTGATCCTGTTAGTCACCTCTTATGACAAGCATGGGTTGCTGAAGCCCTATTCTACCCCAGATCTTCATGGGGAGAGACAAGCATGGGTTTCTAAAGACCTACTCTTCCCCAGATCTTCATGGGGAGAGAAACTACCCCAGATCTTCATGGGGAGAGACACTACCCCAGATCTTCATGGGGAGAGACACTACCCCAGATCTTCATGGGGAGAGACACTACCCTCAGATCTTCACGGGTCAGGACATGAACATATGTCAGTAGAAATAAGCAGTAATAATCCCAACATAACTGAACACATATTCTACAAAGACAGCACACATCCAACCTTTGTTTCAGCATGTGCTATTGTTTGATATTACAAGCAGAAATACCCTGACTCTATTGGCTTTATATAATTTTGTTTAAAGACATTTTATTGAACATGTTGTTTTTTTGTAAAGACGTGAGAAGTCGCATCTGGATGACTTGCGTAAGTCGGAGGTCAAGACGACCCCGGTGAACACCAAGTACATGTCTCCCCGGGAGAGGATGAGATTACGCAAGATGGAGGAGGCTGACAAGAAGGGGAAGATGTTGAAGTGAGAGTTCGCGACATAAGACCAACTGTTAATGTCCACTGGGAATATTGGACTGAATCTCACAATGTCTGCTTTATCGTAACATAGTCCACCAGTGTGGATCAGCAGTTGAGGCAGTTTTAATGAAACAGTGATGTGTTTGAAGAGGAGAGTAGATAGGTTTCACTTGTTAAGTCAGTTGTGATTAAGCATATTTGTCGAGGCTATAATGAGGGGAAACTAGTTCACAGCTCCAGGATAATGTTGGGCTGCTACTCACATCTCACTTTGTCAAAATTTGACCTCGCTGTTGTCAAATGAGACTTTTTGTTTCTCAACTTATTTTTTGTTCATGATGATTTTTGTTTCAGTAAACATGCGAAAGTGCAATTACAAGAGAACAATATAAGACGGTCAGCAATCAAAGAATCTCTCAGCAAAACTTCAGTAAGTCTCTGATCGGAACAAGGTGTTTGAAAGATATCATGTTCTCCAGACTGTTTATCTGAAGAGGCCTTAAGACCCTTGCTTCCATATGAAACATCTTGATATTAAAGACTTCATAAGGCATCAAGCCAGCAACCCATTCCTTCAAAGATATGATTCTCTTGTATGATGTATCTACCAAACATTTCTGCTTCATGTGAATCATATCAACGGACATTTAATGTACACAGATGTCTTGAACAGTTTAAGTAAAATATCTTCCTCACATTTTTAAGTAATTTAAGTAATAAGTATGAAAAAGTATTAAAATCTAATGATTAACTAAAAGGCCTGACCCTTGGTGTGCGTGTCTCATGTCATGCAGGGAGCAGGACAACTGCTTCCCCAGCTCCGGCAGAGGCGTTGACCACCCTTGGTGTGCGTGTCTCACGTCATGCAGGGAGCAGGACAACTGCTTCCCCAGCTCCGGCAGAGGCGTTGACCACCCTTGGTGTGCGTGTCTCACGTCATGCAGGGAGCAGGACAACTGCTTCCCCAGCTCTGGCAGAGGCGTTGACCACCCTTGGTGTGCGTGTCTCACGTCATGCAGGAAGCAGGACAACTGCTTCCCCAGCTCTGGCAGAGGGGTTGACCACCCTTGGTGTGCGTATCTCACGTCATGCAGGGAGCAGGACAACTGCTTCCCCAGCTCTGGCAGAGGGGTTGACCACCCTTGGTGTGCGTGTCTCACGTCATGCAGGGAGCAGGACAACTGCTCCCCCAGCTCCGGCAGAGGGGTTGACCACCCTTGGTGTGCGTGTCTCATGTCGTGCAGGGAGCAGGACAACTGCTTCCCCAGCTCCAGCAGGGTTGACCACCCTTGGACTGGAATTCAGAATAGTGTTGTTGTGCTGCAGGTACCTGTGTGGGCGGGAGGAGACGGGGAGGGGCCGAAAGTGAGGAGAGCTTTGTCGAAGAGTGCAGAACACGCTGGCACACTGGACTCCAATTACTCCGGCCGGGCGTTACGGATGCACACTGTCCCAGGTGAGAGTTGATATGAGGTTCATCTCACTCACTCACTCACTCACTCGCAGAGTACCTACTAACAGCCATGCAGACCACCTTAGTGTAGATGTAGTTGACATGCTTTGTAGGGGGAGAATGGGAAGTGGATTATTAGATGTTGAAGCATGTGTGCAGTGGTGGAGAGAATTGATGGCACTGGGATCAAAGTAGGTTTGTAATTATGTTTGTCATATACATATAACAGTATAATGTAAACAAACACTCAACTGTGTTTCAAACACAAATATCCCTCTCTGCTCTTGGTGAGTGAGTGAGTGTGGTTTTATGCAGTTTTTAGCATGCTCCAATAACATAAGGTGAGAGAGACCTGGCCTACACATTGTACCCATGAAGGGAAGTTTCTAAAGCTGGAGTGCAAAAATAACAAATACAGCTAATATAGATATACTGTTTTAAGATGTGTGACTCACATGTTTTGGATGGAATGATGTGTAGAATTATTTCCCCTGTATGCTGTGGATTGGGTAGTCAGTATGGTGGAGCATGAGAAGAGTCTGACATACACCTTGCGTTACTGACAATGGACACGGAACTGATGACTGGGGGAGTGATTGCAAGGACATGTCACATTGGAGTGTCATGACACACCTGCCTCAATACCATACCTCACAATACATAATTAGCACCTCCATCTTCCATGTCACTCAGCTGACAAGGGGGCACGGGTGGCCCAGTCATCTAAAGCGCTGCGATTCGCTGTGCAGAGTTGTGTCAATTGGACAGGCCAGAAACCTATGATTGTGGGTTCTAATCCTGGTCGCCCCGATTATGTTTCTATGCTTGTCATACCATACCCATGCTCGTGAATTTCACCGAAGTGGTAAATGTGTGAGACCTGCATCACTTCAGGCTTTCCTCACACATTAAGCTGACACGCCGTCATATAACTGGAATACTGTTAAAAGTGGCGTTAAACCCAATTCACCCACTCACTCAGCTGACAAAAGGTTGTTGCTATCAGCCAGTTTGTGTTTAACTTGTACGACTTTTAAATTTAGACTCTTCTCATAGTATTTATTATGCAATCAAATTTAACAGGTGGTAACCTAGTTAATGCTAGCTTAGGTAGTTTTCAGGCCAGGTTATTGCAAAACTTTTTGAAAAACGACAGAAAATTAAACTATGAATTGACACCGGGGTAGGCATATCATACATCATATGTTTAGGTGTAAACTAGCTATGAATCAATGTATCAGTGAATACCTCCAGTTAATGTCTTTCGCCAATGTCAATGCCAAATCTCATCTTGTCCATATCACATGTTCGGCTGTCATCTTACAATCGTGTTGACAAAAGCCACCTCTCCAGCTCTGATCAGGATTCCAGCAAAGTGTATGAAAGGTCACTGTGAGCATTGCATGGGTAAAATCGGGTTATATTAACAACTACTTTATACTTTAAAAATATTCTGTATGATTGTTCATATTTCTCTGGGGCGGTCGGGTAGCCTAGTGGTTAAAGCGTTCGCTCATCACGCCGAAGATCCGGGTTCGATTCCCGACATGGGTACAATGTGTGAAGCCTATTTCTGGTGTCCCCCGCTGTGATATTGCTGGAATATTGCTAAAAGCGGCGTAAAACCATATTCACTCACTCACTCATATTTCTCTACATGGGCCTGTACAAAAGGCCTTCTACAGTCTTGTATTTCTGTCTGTTTATGCACACAGGATTCACCCATGTCACATATCTAATCTATACGAGTAAACCTGATTCCAGGGTACCACGTGCCCTCATTGCCACACTCCCTGCGGTACAAAGCCCATGGTGATGTTCTCGTGTGGATCTGACACACTTTGTATGGAATACGCAAAAAGGTGGAATCTGGCTCTAAAGACAAAATTTGACTTGAAAAGTTCTTTAAGTGCTTTAAAAAGAAAACAAAAAACATCATGGTCTGGAGCCATTTTGTGTGTGGGCAGGTGATGAGACACAAGAGTTGAGGCTGGCAACCCTCTTTTTGGTACGCAGGATTCAGGGGTCTGTATAGAGAGTATTCGGGAATCGGAAGCATGGTACGCAGCATGCAAGTAAAATTGTATTTGTTTTTAAAAAAATAGTGGTGTATGTAAAACGTTTCTTTATATACTTTATCATTTTCAGTAATTTAACCTCAAATCGCTCCCTTTTCTCAATACTTTTGAGATTTGTGTTAAATAGTATTCAGGGATGAGCAATGAGACTCAGAGTGAGGAGGGGGGTGAGGAGGGGGTTGGCACCCTCATAACTTGGTACAGCTACCTCATTACCGGGGTAATAAGACTTGGTGGGGTAAGTTTACCAAGACTTAAGTAGTGTGGCGTTGCCCTGCTGTAGTGAGCCTACTTAGCTGCATGTCTTTACTCACAGAGTTTTCCTTTCCCAATAAGCACATGGTTACCACTTCGAGGAGGAGGAAGATGATTTTCAGACAGTAATTCCACGGCAAGTGAGGACAATGGGGTTTTCCTCCTCTCTACATTCACCCTTTGAGGAGGATAGGCCAATCACACCCTTACGAGATACAATGGTTTATGATGTCAAAAACTCATCGTTAGATTTTAAAGATGGTGGGTATTCTCAGTGTTGAATATGTATATCGTTTTCTTTCTTTTTTTGTGTTGATTTTGTATTATATATTTTGAGTTGTTTAACAAGTGTGTGCATGGTCCTACACAACACCTACTTACAATCTTTCACTCAAACATTTCTGCTTCACAGTCGACTCTGTCTAAACTGGCACAAATATAGAATACAAGTGTTCTTCTTGTCATGGAGATAGAAGATAACAATCTGTAGACACCAGGATGTTTTGTTAAACTGGTATGACAAGCACGGCTTGGATATACATCAAAGTTATTTCTTTCAGGGTCATTTCACCATTAGAATCAATATATGAAACTTTGCCCAGTGGCATCTTTCATAGCCTGGAGTAGTCATGTCTGGGGAAGTGCCCATATCATACTGACGTGTGTAAGCAGTATTGTTAGACAAATTGTCCAAGGCTCTCAATTGTTATATGCTGGAAATGCCATCTTGTTAGAACAGAGTCAACTATAGAGGTGTGTTGCTATTTCGATTTGTTGCAATTCTTCTGAATTAATCATGTTTCTATTTATGTATTTTGCATGTAACATTATCTTCAGCCTCTTTAAAATCAGATTTTAGTGCTCGCTACCACTGCACAAAGATCTCAGGACATCCCAATACAGGTCATGACAGAACGATTTTTTCATGAAATTTGACCAACTAATGAAATGTCAAACAAGAAGTGGACATTTGCCAGTCAGAAAGCAACTTTTTCCAGCTTTAAAGCACTAGGTTTAACTGGGAACTTCCATTCCAGACTACACTTTGAAAAATGTTGATTAGTTTGAAAACTGAACAAAAGGAATATTCTGGAATGTCTAATAAAGGGCCAAGATTGTATGGCAGTAAATCCCACGGGCTGTGGAAGGTCTCTCCCGTTTCAAAGGTTTAGTCCATTGAATAGAGGTAGACACTGTACAGCTCATAGCTATCGTTCAGAATACCCCGTCTTAACCTTTTCGAGGTTGCATAATTAGAAAACACATTCTGGTTGTCACTTTCCCGATCTGGTAAGCGATGCTGTGATTGGTTGGATGAAAGATTGTTCTGACATGACCTGTAATAGGATGTCCTCAGATTTTTGTTAGCGTTAGCAGGAACCAAAATCTGATTTTGATGAGATTGCATTATTTTCTGCTTCCCAATCCTTTATCTTGTCAGTAGTGATGTTCTTTTGACATCTTTTGCATGAGTTGTACAGAGGATATTTCTTATACAATATCTGACATGATTATAATTTTACGTGTTCATTGATATCACTTATTTCATCATGTTGGCTTTGAACATGTTTATTGTACAAAAATTTCATACTGTAAATACTTTGAAAGAGGCTTGGTGGAAGATTTTTATGTTTAATTGCACAGCCAACCTTCTAATCAGTATGACAATTTACATGTGTATAAAAGCATATTTCTCCCTGAAATCAGTTTGTGATTTGGAATAGTACTGCCCGAGTCGAGCGGAGTGGTGTGTGGTACCTGCTGACCAGCTGTTGTCTCTTGTGCAGGCATTCCTGACAACCCCCGGCTGGCCGAGACTTACTACTCACAGTTTGAGGGAGACTTTGATGATGATGAAGATGACAATGCTGACGATGGTATTGGTGATGATGAGCCTGAAGATTATGATGATGATGATGACATTATGATGGATGAAGAGCGCACCCTGGTGGCAGAGGAGGAAACTCACAACGATGTAGAGGATTTTATACAATGTCTGGAGGGTGCCTTGGATAAACCTGAGGGTAAGCCTGTGTATGGTAAACTCACAGCAATGTAGAGGACTTTATACAATAATTGGAGTGTGCCTTGGATAAACCTGGGGGTAAGCCTGTGTATGGTTAACTCACAGCAATGTAGAGGACTTTATACAATGTTTGGAGGGTGCCTTGGATAAACTGAGGGTAAGCCTGTGTACGGTAAACTCACAGCAATGTAGAGGACTTTATACAATGTCTGGAGTGATGAGGGTTGGATAAACTGAGGGTAAGCCTGTGTATGGTTAACTCACAGCAATGTAGAGGACTTTATACAATGTCTGGAGTGTGCCTTGGATAAACCTGAGGGTAAGCCTGTGTACGGTAAACTCGCAGCAATGTAGAGGACTTTATACAATGTCTGGAGTGTGCCTTGGATAAACCTGAGGGTAAGCCTGTGTACGGTAAACTCACAGCAATGTAGAGGACTTTATACAATGTCTGGAGTGTGCCTTGGATAAACTGAGGGTAAGCCTGTGTATGGTTAACTCACAGCAATGTAGAGGACTTTATACAATGTTTGGAGGGTGCCTTGGATAAACTGAGGGTAAGCCTGTGTACGGTAAACTCACAGCAATGTAGAGGACTTTATACAATGTTTGGAGGGTGCCTTGGATAAACTGAGGGTAAGCCTGTGTACGGTAAACTCACAGCAATGTAGAGGACTTTATACAATGTCTGGAGTGTGCCTTGGATAAATCGGAGTGTAGGTCTGTGTATGGTAAACTCAGATGATGGATAAATGTTTGGTAGGACTATGTATGTGGTGTATTCCATTTAGTGATGAAAGAAGGGAACACACGTGTTAATTTTCTCCCTCTGTGGGTACTTAGATGGACAATACATAGAAAGATGTGGAGGGGTGTTTGTGAAAATCTAATCATTAAGTTATTATGGCCTTGTAATTTTTTTGAATATCTAGGGGGGTGTTTGTTGCAATGTTCCAGCTTTTCAATAGTGGCCTGTAAGTATCAGGATCAGATCAGATGATGTGAAATATTAATAGGGTTGGCCCATCCATAATAAAGGGACTGAACCTTAGTAAGAATATGGTTCTGTCTGTGATATTGCAGCTAGTGATTCAATTGTATATTGTTTTCCAGAGCAAACCATTACTGTAGCAGATGACACGGTCTCAGGAGCATTTGGCCCACATGCCAGGGGGGTGAAGATTAAGAATCTCCGAGCGTATCCTTGATCAGTTGTCTCTCACTCACATATTCCACTTTGCTATCATTGTGCAGTTGAAAATGTGTCAGTATATGTTTAGGCTTTAAAACATTGAACCTCTTTGTGGATGTTGTGAACCTTTGTAAAATAGGAATTGTGTGTGGTAGTTTATAAGTGCACCTAGCTCAATAGATTGCACACAAGCATGTAAATTTGACCATCCAGATTTAATCATTCTTAAAAAATGTGACATATATGTACTCTGACTACAGACCAGTGATTACCCTTAACTGTCTGCAGTCAGTGCGAGAGTGTGCTGGGTAAGGAGACATTTGAGAAGGCGTACAGCTACCTGCGTGGAGCCCGCTACGAGAAGGAGGGTGCCAATAAAAGTGAGAAAGACATTATGCAGGGCCTGCGAGAGCTTGTGAAGAATCCGTCCGACTGTTTCCTGGTGGACCAGCTACTGTTTCTTGAGGAACAAGCCAAATACCATGAAAACAGCTAGCAACTCAGTCACTGTGGACACCATTTTGCTCAAGTGGGGAAGCTATTTACAAAATTCTGCAAATATGTACTAGGAACACAAAGGATGTGAGATGTATATAGAATTATAGATTTCCTTCTATTTAATGGCGTTCTACATGAACTATGATCTGATTGAAAATCTAGAATTGTTTTGTAGCTTTACGATGTTTTACTGTCATACATTATTTTGAAAACTTGTGATAGTTAAAGGTATTGCTTTGTGAATATCAAGGGTCATCAACTGTAAATAAAGTGGCCAAGGGAGAACACTGTCACCTCCCTGTCGGATTGTACCAAGGGAGAGCACTGTCACCTCCCTGTCAGATTGTACCAAGGGAGAGCACTGTCACCTCCCTGGTGGATTCAAGCTCCTTCCCAGCGAGTGACACCTTCGTTACACTCTCGGTAACATCGCTGCCACCAGTGTGGGCGCGGCCATTACAAGAATCTTGAAATTTGCCCTCAAACCCCATATGTAGTAACGTTTATACTTTTGTTTATGTCTTTGGGAATGCCATCATATTTCAATTTGAAAAGGTTTACGACTGACCATGTTTTCCAGACGAATTTACTTTGTTGTTTTGATAATCAGATTGGTTCGAGATTGCAGACTAACGGAAAATTAACCAACTTCTCCCTTAGATTCTTACTATATCAATAACACGATAGTTTTAATGAAACAGAAATTCAAATTGACAAACGAAGAAAGTAATTTAGCAGCGATAAGTGTATTTGGCGTCACAACAGTCGTCACTTGTTTGTAAACATAACGGTCATTCTGCTGCGAGTTCAACTCCAAGCATGGTTGTGGCCACCTATTCACAGTGGGGAGTTTTGACTGGTGGCAGCGATAGTATAGAGAGCTCCGGGAACGTACTATCGCTGTGAGGAGCTTGTGTCGGATTGTACCAAGGGAGAGCACTGTCACCTCCTTGTCGGATTGTACCAAGGGAGAACACTGTCACCTCCCTGTCGGATTGTACCAAGGGAGAGCACTGTCACCTCCCTGTCAGATTGTACCAAGGGAGAGCACTGTCACCTTCCTGTCAGATATTAGCCAGGGAGAGCACTGTCACCTCCCTGTCAGATATTACCAAGGGAGAGCATTGTCTTCTCCCTGTCAGATTGTACCAAGGGAGAGCACTATCACCTCCCTTTCAGATTCAAGCTCCTTCACAGCTTGTGACACCTTTGTGAAATTTAGAAATTTGCCCTCAAACCCCAAATGTAGTTAATATTTGTTTATTTCTCTGGGAATGCCACCATCGCAAATTTTGAAAAGGTTTATGACTGACCGGATTTCACAGATGAATTTACCTTTTGTTCGAGATTGCAGATGAACTGAAAATCAACCAACTTCCTTCTTAAATTCTTAATATACCAATTACATGATAGTTGAAATGAAATAGAAATCCAAATGACAAACAAACAAAATAATTTAGCTAGGGTAAGAGTAATGGGTGTTATGACTGCCATCACTTGTTTGTAAATGTAAGGTCAGTCAGTTGTGACTTGAACTCCATGCATGGTTGTGGCCACCCATCACACTAGGGAGCCTTGACTGGTGGCAGTGATAGTATAGAGAGCTTGGCAAACCGGCTATGGCTGTGAGGAGCTTGTGTCAGATTGTACCAAGGGAGAGCACTCTCTTCCATGGAAGATTCAAGCTCCTCACAGCGATATCCCGACTATCATGTAATTGATAAAGTAAGAATGTAAGGGAGAGGTTGGTTGATTTTCCATTAGTTTACAATCTTGAACCAATCTGATTATACAAACAACAAAGTAAATTCATCTGGAAAACATGGTCAGTCGTAAACCTTTTCAAAATGAACTATGATGCCATTCCCAAAGACATAAAAAAAAAGTATGAACATGGCTACATTTGGGGTTAGGGGAGGGCAAATTTCAAGATTCTTGTAATGGCTGTGCCCACACTGGTAGCAGAAATGTTACCAAGTGTGTAACGAAGGTGTCACGCGCTGGGAAGGAACTTGTGGAAGATTGTACCAAGGGAGAGCACTCTCTCTTCCCTGTCAGATTGTACCAGAAGTATTCACAGATATGACACCCAGCAATATATCTGAACTTTCAGAGTAGCTTTAATATATCAAATTATACTGACTGCAAATTATGATCAGAATATCAGTTTCTATTTATTTATTTTCAACTTCTACAAATCAAGTACCATTGAGGTGAATTTGAAATTTAGACTTTCAACATGTTCATGGAAACAAGTTGGGAGTTATTTATGTCTCTGAAACATGACACAAAAACAGTCAATATTATTTTCTTGTAGGGTCTGGGGGCTATTTGATTTCCAGACGATTCTGCTCTTCAGCTGTTTTCTGAACCTCTAAACATCCCTTCCTTAGATGCATAATATACTTGTTACATATAGGACTTGTCGTCTCCTGAAACAAGTTTGTAAACAGAACAGATGTTCCTGTTGTGAGGTAAACTGCTGATTGTGATGGAAGTGATGCATAATGTATGATATTACACATCTGTGACCCATCATGTAGAGTCTAGCTATCAGCTAGCTGTTTTTCATGCTCTCTCATCATATCCTAATTTCATTTTCATATCTAAATAGGTCATCAAAAACAAAATAAGAAATTGCTTGTTTCCTCTCGTGCTTTACACATTTTATTTGTTCATGTTCAATTTTTAACTAGGATAGCAAAGCTACATTGGAGTTGCTATTGCCAGTCAAACTGCATTGTCTGAAACTGTATCTGATAATATACAATATATAGCTGCACACTATCAATCCATCAGTACATGGGGGGAGATTCACCATAGAATCACTTATATGAATATAGAATCACATGATGGCAACATATTGTTAATACTGTGTTTCAAGAGTTGAAGGCTCATCATATAAAAGTAATGTATAAAAATACATATCTTTGAACCATTGAACTGTAAGGTCAGTTATATTTATTGTAATCCTAGTGTCCTATTGCTAATAACACTGAATTGTACCACAACCTAGTATCTGAGTATAAAGTGGCCCCTTTTGGGTTGTGCCTTGGTTAATTCATTTCTTACAGTATTGATGATGTAACCAGTGTGTTACTCCAGAAACCTGCTGCCTGGAAGAGTTCAGGTAGTCACAACATGATCACTCCTAAAGCACTGTTATGTATGTATGTGGAGACCCCTACCCCCAAATCAAATGACTGAAATGACCTGATCATCAACGTTCCACATTAAATGCAGACTAACCTAGACACCGTAGCAACTTGTGAGTCATGTGCTTGTGTACCTGGACAGTGGTGTTGAAGCTGCATTAAATGCTTTGTATTTGTGTTGTACAAGTCAGAAAGTAGGAAGTTACTTGTGTATATATTATGCCAAAATCTCTGTAAACCTGTACATGTTGTGATAGTATCTCTGTTTCAGGTGTTCACTTTTTAATGTGGAAGTATATATATTTATGTGGTTATTTCTAGCCTTATTTCTATGTTTTACCACTGTTTCATTTGGTTTTAACAAAACTCGTTTTACTAAATTTCTAGGCCAGTGTACAAAGATAACACTTGGACATATTGATGTGAATAACAATTGTAAAATGAATGGGAGTGTGTGGTGCAATCGGATTGGTTGACAAACAAATTGGATTGTAACTGGAAATCTTTCAAAAAGCTTATGAGTACTTTCCCAAATTTGAAAAGAAAAAGTTTAGCAAAATGGATACCACACATACGCAATGATCAATATTTAGCACACCGACCTTGATATAGTTTTGCCAAGGTGAGTACTTACCAGATGAGTTCAGTGATCACAGAAGCGTATGACCTCATCCATTGGATCATCATATAATGACATTCCAGAGTGACGTCTGGTCTGTCTCACTATGGAGTGAGTTCACGGCTAAATCTGTCAGTTCCAAATGAGATTTCTTGGCATGGCATACTCAATAACACACTCACATCTGAAAACATTTAACTCCTAAGGAACAAGAAACACAGATCCAATTTCATTGAAAATAACATTTGTGTGAAGACATATAACATTCATAACAATTTCTTAAACCTTTGATGAATTCTTAAAATTAGGCAGATCCTGTTGGCCAAAAAGGGCCCATCCTAACTTGTCCTTTGCATTGTTTAGGCAGGCTTGATTAAAGCAAGTGAAAATATTGGTCTGGGCAGTTCCACAAAGCAGTCTTAGCACTAAGATGGTCAAACTTACTATACTTTAATGATGACTTGCAACAATCATAGTGTTAAGATCACTTCATGGATAGGGGCCTAGACCTAATACTATGCTGGTGGGTCATGTGTTTATAACTATATGCAAGCTTTGCTTCATTGACATCATGGCTAAATCATGAAATATGCATTTTTTGTTTTCTGTTGTTCAGAGTGGTAAAAATAACTTACATGCTTCACTTTGGATGAGAACGTTGGTACAGTTTATCCAGACTGTATACACTTCTCTGAGAAAGCTTTGCAACTCTTCAGTGGTAAAACCCTGATGCCTAATTCTATCCCGACTCTGACCAGCTATACGATGTAGAAATATGGTGGCTTGTGATACATACATTGTATATTGGAGTAGATGTACTTGTAGCAGGTCCGTCCATTAACATTGAAAAAGTCATCCGCCCATTTTCAGAGTATCCTTTTACTTACTGTTCCGTCCTCTGATTCCAGCTAATATTTTATTTATCCTGGAACTCGTACTTCCCACATTCTTAATGAATGACCATGGATATTGGTCTGGTTTAATCTGTTGTATAATTTATGCATTCCACTGTGACTGTTTTAGTAAATTTACATATTTATCACGTTTTTTGTGTACTTTGTTTTTGTGTGTGAATGGTCTTGTAGACCCAACTGTATAAAAGCAATGAAAAGGCCTATGGCATTTACCAGGATTTAATGAAAGATGCAGGCAACATCTGACACTGAAGATTGAGAGTTACATGGGAGACCTTATTTCATAAGTCTGTAAATTATTCAAGTGTACATTTGATAGGTTATTAATATTTCTTGCAGATACTTGCACTCTAGTGCCTAATATTAATAAGCTCGTGACTTATTATTCTAATTTCTACAAAACTTTACACAGCGGCAAAAGATATTTGAAGGAGAATGGTCTCAACATCAGTATTATACCAACCTTGTGTTTTACTGTTAAGATTTCACTTGAAGTCATGCATTCATCAGATGTTGACTGCTCTTAATATTTCCAAATAAAAAAAGTCCAAGAAATGAATTTGTTGGTCCTTATTCCATATTGGTTGAAATTTGCTCTAATCTTGGTGATATACTGTTCTTAATGGCTTTAGTTCAAGGGCAGCTGGTAGAAAGATGGCAATATTCGGAGCTGCATGGTTATGTTCAATGTTATTTCTCGCTGATCAAAATGTTCATTGACGACAGCCTACTGGTCCAGGATAAGTTGAATCAACTCACAAAACATGTTTGAGAAAAGTAGGCGGTGCACAGAATTTGGGCAAACATATTTGG